GTTTGAAGATAATCTCCAGTTCAAGACAATAGTGGTATTTGATTGTAGAGGACTGGAACCAATTGACTTTGACCCAAGAGTAATCATAATATACTTTTAATGTGTTACTAATAATAGTAACATAATGCATAGTCTGTTACTAATATTAGTAACACCTATTAATAGTAACAATTATTTTTTCATTTGCAGTCTGGATTTACTGCCATTGGGATAGACAGTGGAACACCATTTACTGACATAGATCTGAACTCAAAAGTAAAGAACTTAAAATATAATAATAACAATAGTTACTATTATATTAAATAGGAATGGACAGAGTATGATGAGAAGGAAGGAGCACCAGTTTCAATATTTGAAGTGGAACATCAGTTTAAAAAATTATAAACTTCATAATAACAATAATGCAGTTATAATATCTAAAATCATGTCAAGAAGAGTGCATATGCAGTTTTTTAACAGCAGCCATAGGACTTCAACCCGTCGGCAATATTCATTGAGAATATTGCCAGAGGTGGCAAATAAAATGAGAGACTAACGACCACCATGGCCAACTGAGCACACCAACCAACGCTGCACTTTCCTCTGACATAATAATCTGCTTGAGTACCACAAAACTGACGAGCAAAATCAGAATGATATATAAGAGGAAAAAGAACCATCCCAGCAAGAAGAAACAGGCCTAATAATTCATAATGGATTTAATAATGTTGATGATGATGATTTGAAATAACTTACATGCAAATAGTTGCAGTACAAAAGCCACAAGGTATATGGACTTCTCCTTTATTCTGGGCTTACAATAAGCCACAATTCCAATAATGAGGGATAGCATTATAAGGCAAGTACCAACACCATAGCAGATACTACTAGTAAAGAGATAGACAATATCACTGAGATCAATACTGGCCAGATTTGTCCTGTTTGAAGGAGAGAACTCAGGATAGACGTAAAGAGAGCAAATTGGCTGCACACTGGAGTCCTGCCCTAGTCCTGGGGTGTAACACATGTAGAATAAACCTGTTTCAATGTTAATGGCCTGGAGTGAGGTGGTAGGTGAGTTGATAGTGGTCCATTGGGGGAATCCTGCGGCAACAACCAGACCAATGATGATTAAGAAAGTGCAGGCTAGCCAAGTTGTGGAGGCCACAGAGACCCCAGATACTGTCACTGGCCTTGGACGGAGCTTATGCGAGCTGCTGGAGTGAATGAGGTTCCTTGTACTCTCAGTGCGACTTGAAGCCATTGCCTTTGTTTCTAGATCTGGAGTAAACAAGGGCGGGGCTGGATCTTTGCAACTTAACTGAGCATAGCGCATGCGCAGAACTTATCCCCACCCCATAGTAACTATAGTAACCAGAGTCCCACCCACCGATTGATTAGACAGTAGGCACACACTGAAGTGAATGGATCAAGGATCGATGGTTGATGGATTCTAAGCCTCATGCCTCCTTTGTGTCGATAGGAGAGTTGGTGAGAAGAGGATGGCTCTCCTCTTTGGTTAGAGTAGTAGGTGTCAGCGGTGCTCTACACTCTGAGCAGGTCCTGTCCCTCTCTTATAAAGAGAATGAACTAATGATTGATATTTCCTCAGTGCAGCCATTCAAATACTCACCAGGAACTGTGTATCAGTTCATAGGGGAGGTGAAGAGGGGGCGGGGCCAGGGCCTCAGAGGAGAGGTGTGGCTTAAAGCTCATTGCTATCGTCTGATGGAGGGACTTGACCTTGAAATGTACCACAGAATACAGGACATAAGAACAAAATAAGAATAACAATCGTTCATAATAGTGCTGAAATACGGTTAAAAATAACATGAAAAAGTGTATGTGAAATTAACGAAAACAATAATAATAATAATTAATAATAAAAATTAATATTGACCAGGTCACTACACAATATAAAAACGGTCTGAACTACAATAAAGAGGTGTGGCTTCCCACATTCATTGTGATTATGGATGGGTTTGGTTTGAGCAACGACCTATAGAATGGGGACACTCCTGGTGTATCCAAGTTCCCGTGCCCTTCTTGCTGGACTGTCCGATATCTGTCTCCTCTGAATGAGTCCTCCATCTTCCAGTGCTATGGGGCCACTTGGGTCCTTCGTGGAGTCGTGTTTGTGTATAGCATCTCTGAGGAACCGGAACCACATCTGGTGCTCCAGCTGTGACTAAAGGACATTAATAATGTACAGATGAGACAATGGGAGCTAATGTACCTCAAACTTTATACATGTCTCTCTCCTTGTTCCTATTGGTTGGAGTCTTATGATGTCCGTTCCTTTGATCTGTTTTGATTCGACTAAAATTGAAGACTCCGTGAAACTTATTGAGACCAAACCTTTGCTCATCGACTAGAGTACAAGATGGACATTAACATCATCAAGTGATCAACTCTTACAGTAAAACTGTCTCCAATGTCCAACCTGTTTGGATAGAGTTTAAAATACTTCCTTTGCCAGTGGGTGAACATGGCAGCTGTTGATTGCTTGCTCCCATAGCCCTGGAGGAGAGAGTCATCAGTGAAGGATCCATCAGCAGTGTAGAATGCTATACAGCAATAAACCAGCATATTAATTAATTTATTTATTAATTACGTAATATTCCATTTTTGCTTTTTGATCGCTCCTTTCCTTCTTGCTTCTCCTTATCTTGATTCACTGAGTCAAACACACTCTCTGCAATGATAATAATTAATTAATAGTGGGCGGAGCATTAAAAATAAGCCACACCTACCCATCATTTCTGCCTGCCACCTGTCAGATACCACCACATTAAATCGACTGTACATCTTCTGATCTTCATCATTTAACTATACAGTATTACGTTATTAACTGATATTCCATTATTATATACTTTAACTCCTCTTGTCTCGTCAGAGTCAAAGGAGCCAATATCAAAAGCATCAGCTGCATTCACCTCACCTCTGGGTGGGATTAGGGGCGGGGCATACTGAAGGGAACACACTCTCAATAACTAGTCTATAACTATTAGATATATTACCTTTTTCTCCATCACATCGTCCCAGTTGAGATCAGAAAAGAACGGTAACTCTTTAATAGCATCAACCCTAAACAATAATTAATTAATTAATTAATTAATTAATTAATTATGTGCGTGGGTGTCAGTCTAACCCTGTATCCAGGCAGCCCAGTCTTTTAGTAGGGTCCTTTTCCAGCAGTCCAGTTAATAATTGAGAGACACCAGGAGAGAATGAGCTAGGCATAGTAACCTCCTACAACATACATTCACATAACATACATCACGATCACTGTATCTGTACTTGAGTACATGTACTGTCTTACCTTTGTGAGTGTGATCTGATCCACTTCATCTTTATTCTGTGACCTGAAGGGGCTGTGACTGAAAGAAAAGACAAGTAATGAGAAGAACCTGTACTGATCCTAATATCTTACCCACGGAGGAGCTTATAAAGGACACAACCAAGAGAGAACCAATCAGCACTTTTATCATAATGAACTCCTTTTTGAATAACCTCCGGGGCCATATACCCGTGGGTACCACTAGCAGACATACAATGAAGACATGAACATTAACATACGTGAGTCACTTACACACAGGAAGAAGGTTTCCGATCAGAGAACTCACAAGCCAGTCCAAGATCAGATAACCTTATGTGCCCGGCCTCATCCAACAGGACATTAGAGGGCTAAGGGGGAAGTGATTAATAATAATCCATTATTATTATTATTAATTACTTTAAGGTCCCGATAGACTATCAGCTGAGAATGAATGTGCTCAAGTGCCAGAATTAGTTCAGCTGCATAAAACCGAACCTAATTATAAATAATTAATGAAGTAATCAATCAATCAATCAATTAATTAAAGTACTTCTGCTTCGTTGAATACTCCATGTTGAGTCAAATGATAATGAAGATCACCTCCTAATTAATAATAATTAATAATAATTAATATGCAACATAAGAACTTGTATATGCATCAAAAATATGATAAAAATTGGAAATTTTCTGCTTTCCATTTTGGCAAAGTAAGGCCCAAGACCTTATACTATAGTACAGGGACTTTGGTCAGATTTTGGAGACGCTTTTAAAATTTATAAAAAAGAATTTACCATTCATTAGATCAAGAATGAAGCACAACTTCTCTGGAGTCTGAAAGGCATAATAAAGATTAACAACAAATGGACTGTTGACCTAATAGTGGATGAGTCAATTAATAATAGTCTATTAATAATTACTTTTGCCAGCATATTCCTTTCATTCAGTGCTAGCAGTTCTCCTCTCTTCACTTTAATCCTCTTCTTGTCGAGCAGTTTCATAGCAAACCTAACACCACCCACCCAGTGATCATAACTACCAATCTACAGTTAATGAGATGGTCCCTTACATTTTCCCAGAATCATCTTTCCGGCAACCAAACACTTCACCAAAACCTCCTCTACCAATGATACGATGAACATTGAAATCACTTAAACTTATCTGAATTAAATAAATAAATAAATAAATAAAATTAATAATAATAATAATTCATGACTTACTGTGTGAGGGACTGATAGTTCAATGTATTTCCATTGACAGTAACGAACATAATGGGAGCTAAAATAAATAATAATAATAATAATGATAATAATAATAATAATAATAATAATAATAATAATAATATAACGTGTGTGTATGTAAGAATTTACAAAAACAGGAAATTCCAGTTCTTTGTAATAAAATACAAACAAAATGAAGTACAACAGCTACTACTAATGTTATGCCAAAGACACTTGCCAACTAATTTAAAGCACACACACACACACACACACAGAGGTACAGCTGCTACTGTATTGTAGTATTCAAATAATGGAGAAGAGTAATTGATTAATAAATTAGATTATTAATAAAAATCAAAGAAATTCCACCAGATCACAACAATACACAAGTACATGTACCTGTGAATGAAGTCCTTCATGTATAGACCAGTCAACTCGTCATAAAGATACTCTTTAATCTCCTGTAGCAATGGAGGGAGGACCATTAACACATTCACGTGTAATGGATAGCCAATACTCCTTACCCCATATAATTTTGTTGAAACTTCATTTGCTTTTAACGATACTGTCACTTTATCCGTAATTTCTTTAGGAATTTTCTAAAATGAAAAAGGTGCATTAGATAAAAAATTGGCCACACCCACAAACAAGAGCCTACATGTCCCATAGCAACGAGGTTACCATGGCAACACTTACTGAGGACATTGCCAGCATGTCAGCATAAATGTATTTATCATAAATCTGTTTAGCTTTCTTTTGTCTACTAACAATGGAGGACGTCTTCTCGTAATCAAGAATCTGTAGAGAGAGAGAGAGAGAGAGAGAGAAGGAGGTTTTACAGTTTCCTGGAGTTGATGAAGGTCCAATGTTATTAAACACACAATTAACATGCCAGGGATATATTAATAATAATAAAACATTGAAAGAGGAAAATGGAGGTAGCCAAAGCAGTTGTAGTGTGTAAAGCCTTACCGCCTTTAGGAATGAATAAGTAACACACAATGGGGGAATGAACTTCTCAAGAAAATAAGTACCTGCCAGAGAAAGGGAGAGAGAGAGGGGGGAGGGAGGGAGGGGGAGAGTGATATTAATATAATATCCAGAGGCTTCCCTCTATATGTAGAGTACCCATTCTTTGCTTGTGTATTCTGTGAAAGTTGAGCTCATTCTTGAACGAGAGCCACTTGTGGACCACGTCATGGACACTAAAATAAGACACAGCAACTGAACTGTGGCATGGCTACTGATAATAATTCTGTACCTGTTGTCAGGCAGGACTATCTTCTTTAAAGTCTTTGCTCCAGGATTGCGGGACTTCTCTATCGTCATTAGGTAAGACACATCAGCCAGAACACTCTCCAGGTCAGCCATTATCAACTCAAGGAGAGAGAGAGTGTCTGTTCTCTGACTTGCTTCCCGACCTCTCCCAGTATAAGCTACTCTACACGTCACGTGACGTCACACATCCCAAGCTTAGGAATGAGAACTTGTTTCAATACAAACTAGTGTCTCATCATCCATCACAATATATTGAATGTTTCATTCCAATTTTCAATGACTATTTTCACTCAATTTTAGTTAAAGTTATTTACTTTTCACCCCACTGATTGCTATTGCTGGCTCTAAAGTGCTACCTTTAGTCCGGAATATATTAAACTAATGATCACTGGTTTCAAAAGGAGCAGCTCTATATTTGAGTAGAGTACAATACATGAAGAGTCAAAGTCAAGCAGTGACGGCTTCAAGGAACATTAGCAGATTAAGGAACTGCCATATTGGTTATCAATTGAAGTGGAATTGTTGAACTAAAATGATGAAATTATTAATAAACAAAGCCAAGGGCCACTGAACAAGTTTAAACAACAAAAGGGAAGCATACATCATAATCTAAATACATGTACATGTATTTGAGTTTATATTTCTCCACAGTTTGATATTACAACTGATCTACTTGTCTTCCCTGATTGGGTTCCGGCTCTTTCCATTTCCCTAACAACATCCAATCCTTCAATAACCTGCCCAAACACCACATGTTTACCATCCAGCCAGCCGGTCTTATCCAGGGTTATGAAGAACTGAGACCCGTTGGTATTAGGACCTGAATTAGCCATTGACAATAGACCAGGTTTGGTGTGCTTTAATTGGAAATTCTCATCGTCAAACTTGTTACCATAAATAGATTTACCGCCTGTCCCGTTTCGATTGGTAAAGTCTCCACCTTGACACATGAACTTTGGTATTATTCTATGAAATGGACACCCTTTAAACCCGTATCCCTTTTCTCCCGTACAAAGCATACGAAAGTTTTCAGCAGTCCGAGGTACAATGTCTGAGTGTAGCTCCATCACAATACGACCAGCAGAAGATTGACCAATCAGAATATCAAAATAGACACGAGGTTTAGCATGTTTCTTGGTGGGAGGCTCCCCTTCCTCCCCTTCAGCCCCGCCCTTCTCTCCCTCAGCCACGCCCTTCTCTTCCTCTCTCTCTTCCAGTGTCTTCCCCACGTATGTCTTGATCCAGGTATCCTCTGACCAGACTGGCCTTGAACTGCCCTCTTTCAGCATCTTGGGTCTCGCTATGTTCACTCGGATTGTACGTCCGAATATTTCAGAATTATCCATATTATCAATAGCAGCAGCTGCATCCTCTAGAATAAACAACAATAACAAAAATAATATTAAAAATAATAATAATAATAAAATAATAATAATAATAAAATAATAATAATAATAATAATAATAATAATAATAATAATAATAATAATAATAATAATGTTAATGAGTAATAGCAAGATAAGGTGGTAATAAATGTAAATGGTCCCCATAGACACAACACAATTGATGACACACACTCACTCACAAACTGTTACTACTGTAGTGTATGGATCAGATTAAATGTGTCATAAAGAGAGAGGGAGAGAGAGAGAGAGAAAATGGTAGGAAATGAAGAGAGCAGGTTTCATTAGACTGATATGGTCAGAATTTGGAACAAGAAGTTGTAAAGAACAAGAGTTCAAAGGCACATCATTATAATTAGATAACAGAAGAATGTACAACTGCAGGACATCACGTATACTGGTATAGTTCCATATTTACTCTTACTATCGTAAACTTGGCCAAGGACCAATAGATATACATGTACATCTATTACTAGTACATGATGTATTATTAGTACATGATGTATTATTAGTACATGATGTATTATTAGTACATGATGTATTATTAGTACATGATGTATTATTAGTACATGATGTATTATTAGTACATGATGTATTATTAGTACTTGATGTATTATTAGTACATGATGTATTATTAGTACATGATGTATTATTAGTACATGATGTATTATTAGTACATGATGTATTATTAGTACTTGATGTATTATTAGTACTTGATGTATTATTAGTACTTGTAAACATAAACAAAGGAAATTACAATAATGGAACATAAACAAACAAACACTGAGGAATAATCATATTGTGGGAGGGGCTAAAATTCCCTTTTTCAAAATTTCATTGTGTTCATATAATTAGAAAATACAAATCCTTGTGCAACAGCCTCTTAGCATTACATTAATAATAATACTAACATGATGCTAGCTAATGTAGCAATGCTGTTAATAACTTTACCAGTTGCTTCAAACTCCACAAAAGCAAACCCTCTGTGCTTCTGGGAGGAGTAGTCCAGAGGAATGCTAATGTCCACAATATCACCAAAAGGAATAAAGGCAGAATGGAGTATCTTTTCATTGACCTCTTCCGATAAGCCGCCAACGTATAAAACACGTTTGTTAGCTTGAGCAATGGTAGCCATTTTATTGTTAATAACGTAAACCACACCCATGGAATTCCCGGATACTTTAATTGTACAATCTCCGTTTAGATTCTGGTTATTATTAGTAAAGTTTCCGTATAGTTTCCTACTAGACCACGCCCACGCATAGACTGCCTGCTCCTGCAGAGATAGAGATAGAGGGAAGAAAGGTGAAGTGATAAAGAGAGAGAAGGTTCCCTTTCTGTCAGCTCTTCTCTCTACTCCTGGACACTAATAGCTCAGGTCTCTCAATCTAATCCTCTCCTTCTCTTTCTTGAGGTATTTCTGCTCACAATAAACAGCTACACGCTTGCCATCTTCACCTGTCATTGGCTAATGTACAGCTTACGGTGTATGCCTCCAGTAGCCTTCTGTTCAATTGATACCTTCTTTTGAGCTGTTACCCGCCACTCTCTTAGCTCAAGCCTCTTGTCCTTTGTTTATTTATCATCTTGTGAAGATAATACTTGTTTATTGATAAACATAACATTGAGCTAATCATAATTTTATTTTATTATGACCTTTCTCTTCTAGATTACAATGGACTCTGATGACACTAAAGAGAATGGACCACAGGTACTGCTCTATGACTCATACACTAGTTTATATTCTACAGCTTCTCATGTACAACAGTATATGCTGTACATCAATACATTAACATCATCATCATCATCATTATTATTAATATGGCCATACATTACTTTACTTTAAATGGTCAAACCTTGTGATCACTATTAATCATTCTACTGATGCCTTCAATAGTTATTAGTAGTTATTACAAGGTAGCAGCTGCACTGTATTTGAATTAATTACAGGTGTGGTGATGTGTGTGTGTGTCTGATAAGATGTAGTACAATTGTTATTTTAAACTATTAATTATATTTATTTAGTCTAAGAAGCCTCCGGTTGTTCAACCTAAGCCCAAACCACGCCCAGGGTCTGCCCCTCGTACTGTTAGGGTAACACCCTCCATCACTGACCTTGGGAAGAAACCTTCTCTGACTTCAAACGGATCGAAACATGAAGAGCCCAACGACGAGGAGACTGAAAATGTAAGTTTGATAATACTAACTGCATGATAACCTGTGTACAGTGTACAGACATGTACGTACTCACCCTCCCTCTTTCTCCCCCCCCTCTCTCCCTCTCCCCCCCCTCTCTCTCTCCTACTCTCTCCCTCCCTCCCTCCTCTAGGTTGATGATATTGAGCTTAATCCTGAGAGTTTGGCACAATTCAGTAAAATAGATTTTGATGCTGTGGTAAGTCAAAGGGAGAGAGAGGAGTTTGCAGTAATGTCAGACTGTCAGTAGTGTACATGTACATGTACATGGTTCAAGAGGTAGTAATTTGTAATATGAGAAGAGAAAATGGCTGCCTTGTAAAGATATCCCGTTACTTATATTCTTTAAACTTGTTTTAATTATTAAACACAACCTTAGCTTGTAGTGACAGTACATGTATCAATAAAGCCATTATGACCTAGTGTCTGGTTGTAAACAGGTTGACTCTCCTTCTTTGATCCGTTACACTCACTGAATAATGACAAGTAGACTAGTAGGAGGTTCCTTAATGACAATAGATTGTGTATTATGTACATGTACATGTACATGATCAATGACTGGAGTGTGTGTGTGTGTGGATATGAAGTTGTTGTGTTTATTCACTTCATGTCCTCATGTGTGTACTAGTACATTAATTCATGTACTGCTGAGAATTGAACCGTCACCATTGCGTGACACACTAACAATAATAATGTGAATAGAAGCTGATGGATCTGTTTGTTTGTGTTGCTTCATAATCAGATCCATATGTAATTAATAAACATTATATCTCCCTAGCAACGCTATTCAATGCTGGACACAGCTGCCCAGAGACAGAAAGCTTACCTCGGCCACGGGAAAGGACTCCAGCAAAGGAGGCTCCCTGGGCACCTGGCTCACAAGGTTGGAGATGATTATTATGAAAAGAGAAAGTCGTACGACCCCAAAGTCCTCCTGGAGGCCTCATCTCATGACTTCACCAGTAGGAACAGGAGCATCACTAGTGCTGCCATCATAGAGAGTAGCCCTCCGCAGAGCGAGGAAGAGAGAGAGAAACAGGTAAAGGAACCCTCTGACTTTCTTGTGACTGATGACACCATTGTTTGTTAGTTTAATGACTTGTTTTGATTCATACACTCCATTCATTATGATACATTTACTGTAGTACATGTGTGTATATTAAAGTCTGATCAATATTGTTAATACAATAATGATACAGTGCATCAACCACCTTCAGTACATCTACCAATATTAATAATGATTAGTTCAGCACTTACAGTACATCATAATATGCAGCTTACTGTAGCTATAATACCAGTAACTCTACTCCTCTTAATGTAAGTACACCAATACAGCACATGTAACATGATTATTGACATTTTTTGAATTAATGAGATATTTTTATGTACATTTTATAGTAATATACATTATTATTATTATTATTATTATTATTTTATTTCTTTAGATATTAGCAAAGGTGGGTGTGCCTCAGGGTGGGGCTATATCAGGCCTGGCCCAGTTGTTCAAGAAGAACTCTAAGCTATCCCGTAGTGCCAGCAGTGGCAGTAAGGACAGGCTGGAGGGGCCCCCTGCCGTAAAAGCTAAACCGAATAAGAAATCTTCAAATACAAGTTCACCTGACATGTCACGCTTAAGAAATGTTGAAGCCTCTCCTCGTTCATCATTCAAGTTCTTTAAGAAGAAGAAGGGGCGGAATCAAGATGGAGATGATATCAGTCAACGTTCGGTCGATGACCTTCAGTCAGAGACCTCCAGCCTCTCCAGCATGAGCAGGATATCAATCAAAGAAGAAGAAGGAGACAAGGCAGAGTCTCCCAGCCATGAGCCAGCCACTTCTCCTCAGCACTCATCATCACCACGGCAACCAGTATCTATTGAAACCACTCCCAGTCGACCAGACCCATCTCCTCTTGGAGTGACGTTACGGAGCCCAAAGGAAGGGAATAGTAGCAGCAGCCGCGTTGACTCACTTCTGTTTAAGGAAGAGGTTCCATCATTGTTTAATGATGACTCGATGCTGCTCGACAGTGAACTGACTAGCTTGTTGGATAAAACAAAAACTGATTTTACGAGCAAAGAAAAGAAGCAGGAGGAGCAAAAGGAAGAAGAGAAAGAGAAAGAGAGAGTAGCTCCACCCTCTGCTAGCAGGTCTACTGGGCCTGCTGGGTCTATTGAGGTATCAAAGTTGGGAGGGCCGGAGAAGCCGTTAAGAAAGACTCGCTCTTCAAAAGTGAATGTATCAGCTTATGATAGAGCAGCAGCTGATGCTATAAGGAATGTGAAGGAGAGAGAGAAAGAGAGAGAGAAGGAGAGAGAGGAAGAGAAGAAAAAGAAGGATAAAGATAGACTAGTCCTTTTTGAAGATGAGACAGAGTCCAGAAATAAGATGGAGGAAAAGAAAGAAGACAAGATGCCATCAGCAAAAGACAAAGCCAAATCACTTTTTGACGATGACCTGTTCCAAGACATCAAAGAGAAGGAGAAAGAGAAGAAGCCGACAGCTGCCAGCCTGTTTGATGAAGATCTGTTTGAAGAGAAGCCACTTACAGCAGCTCCTACTGACACTAAAGAACCTCCAAAAGAGCCTGAGCCTAGCAAAGACATAAAGTCAATCATTGGAAGAAGAGAGAAGTCACCATTATCACCAAAAAGAGACACATCAGCAAAGAAAGATGACAAGGGAAGTAGCTCATTGTTTGGAGATGATGACAAGTTTGGCAGTAAAATAACTGGATCACCATCTTTTGGACGGAGGAAGATCGAGAACAAGTTACCAATTGGAGCAGCAGCAAAACTAGTGACGGCCACTGAAGACCCACTGAGTGATAATACAGTGACCACACCTACTGATAAACTAACCACACCCACTGATAAACTGACCACACCTACTCCAGTTAGTCCTAAAGCTAAGAAACTCCCTCCTAAGCCAAAACCAAAGCGAATTAACGTACCATTGTCCCCGGCCAGTGTCTCACCTGTGTCACCATTGTCACCAGCTGACAAGAACCATAAACTCACTGAAGACAAGGGGTCCGGTTTTGACAAGGGGTCTGAAGCAGAGAAAGGAGATAAAATTTCTGAAGCAGGAAAGAGTTTTGATACAGATAAGGGGTCCAGTACAGATAAGGGGTCCAATACAGATAAGGAGTTCAGTACAGATAAGGGGTCCGGTACAGACAAGGGGTCCAGTACAGATAAGGGGTCTGGTACAGATAAGGAGTTCAGTACAGATAAGGGGTCTGGTACAGATAAGGGGTCGAAGAGATCCAGTACTGATAGGGGGTCAGGTACAGATAAAGGGCCTGAATCAGACAAAATTTCTGATTCAACCAGCAGTTTTAAAGATGACAAGAGTTCTGAATCAAATAAAAATTCTGAATCAAGCAGCAAGGTGACCAGTACAGATAAGGGGTCTGGTGCAGATAAGGGGTCTGGATCAAGCAAAGTTAGTTTAGATGATTCTAAAGATAAGCGTTCTGAGACACAAAATAAAAAAGAGGAGGATGTCCCAGCCTGGAAGAAGCGTCTTGAGGAGAGACGAAGACAAAAAGAAGAAAAGGAAGAGGAGGAGGAAGTGCCAGCTTGGAAGAGACGACTGGAGGAGAGACGGAAGCAAAGAGAAGCTGAAGGGAAGCAGCAGGAGAAGAAAGAAGAGATACCATCATGGAAGAAAAGAGCTGAAGAAAGAAGAATGGAAAGAGAGAGAGAGGAAGAGGAGAAGAAATTAGGAGGAGGAGGAGGAGCTGGTGGTAAAACAAAAGAGAAAACAACTTCAGGAGGTGAGGAGAAGAAGACTGAGAAAAAGGAAGAGAAGAAAATGGAGGATAGTAAGAAGAAAAATGAAGATGAAGAAATGCCTCCATGGAAGAAAAGGCTAGAGGAGAGAAGGAGACAGAGAGAGGGAGAGACAACAGCAGCTGCCACTGGAGGCAGTTCAAAGAAAGAAGAAGTACCAAGTGCTACTACCAGCAGCAGCAGTAAGAATAAACCAGGAGAAATGAAACAAGACAAAGAATCAGAAAATGAAGTAATAGATATTGTGTTGTAGTTGTTGTTATTTATTAATTACAGGAGGACAGTGTCCCTGGTTGGAAGAAGAGGCTGGAAGAGAGGAAGAAACTGAAGGAGGCAACTAAACCAGGAGGAGCTGATAAAGAGACTCTCACTAGCAAAGAAGAAGCTAGACCTAGCGATACAACACAAGACAAGATCAAACCAAAGGAGAAACCTAAACCCTCTCCTGTATCAATAACACCTCTTACCAAAGAAGAGGATAATAAAACCACACCCAAATCAGCCACACCTAAATCAGCCACTCCCATTGATAAGGAGATGTCCCCAACAGATATTGACCCGTCGCTCCCTCAATGGAAGAAAGACCTCATTCTTAAGAGACGACTTGGAGGGGGACCACCTCCGTCACCAAGGAAACAGTTGCCTAGCGACAGTGAGAAGAAGGGAGAGGGTGGAGTCCCAGCTTGGAAGAAAGAATTATTAGCAAAAAGAAAAGACACTGAGGTACATGTCTGTACACTGCTGTATAGTGTAATAACTACTGTAGTACAGTGTGTGCTCTTTGTAGTACTATTGTATTGTAGTGCTAAACTCCCTCTACTATAGTACATGGTCTCGGGCCAAAATGGAAAGTAGAGAATTCTCCATTTTTATTACATTTTCTGATGCATATACATGTACATGTTCTTATGTTGTGTAGAAAGTTTGAGCTGATTCTGATCAAAATTGGATTTTTTACGAATTTTTTAAATTGCTCCAAAATCGGACAAAAGTCCCTGTACTATAGTACATGGTCTCGGGCCAAAATTTGCCAAAAATGGAAAGTAGAGAATTCTTGATTTTTATTACATTTCCTGATGCATATACATGTTCTTATGTTGTGTAGAAAGTTTGAGCTGATTCCAATCAAAATTGGATTTTTTACAAATTTTTTAAATTGCTCCAAAATCGGACAAAAGTCCCTGTACTATAGTACATGATCTCGGGCCAAATTTTGCCAGAAATGGAAAGTAGAGAATTCTCCATTTTTATTACATTTTCTGATACATATACATGTTCTTATGTTGTGTAGAAAGTTTCAACTGATTCCGATCAAAATTGAATTTTTTACGAATTTTTTAAATTGCTCCAAAATCGGACAAAAGTCCCTGTACTATAGTACATGGTCTCGGGCCAAAATTTGCCAAAAATGGAAAGTAAAGAATTCTCCATTTTTATTACATTTTCTGATACATATACATGTTCTGATATTGTGTAGAAAGTTTCAACTGATTCCAATCAAAATTGGATTTTTTACGAATTTTTTAAATTGCTCCAAAATCGGACAAAAGTCCCTGTACTATAGTACAGGGATTTTGGCCAAATTTTCCAAAAATGAAAGTAAAAGGATTCTCCATTTTTGCACTTCTATTTAAGGTTTCATCTCCTATCAAGAAAGGAACAAGTGAAAAGGAAGTCCCAAATTTCATGAAAGAATTTCAAATGAAAAAACGAACATGTAAGAATGGGTCATGTGTTCTAAAAATAGTATCAATTCTTTCTCTTTTATTTTTAGAGTATTCTCATTCTATTGTACATGCATTGTTCTGGTCTTCATTCTCTAGTATTATAATAATGTTGCTCTGTTTTTACCAGTCAAGCTAGTTTGGAACAACTCCTCCTCCTCCTCTGTATCTGTTGCTACCTCCTTTCCCTCCCTCTCCCTCCCTCTTGCTGTCAGTGGTTAATATTCACAATTATTATCATGCTATTACTATTATTATTATTATGATTATTATTATAGTGGAGAATATGTTTGTTGTTTATTTTTGTTTACATCCTTTGTTGTTTTATTTTTATGATACAATAATTATTAATTAATCAATAGATTTGTTCATGGCTGTAGGTTTGAATGTTAACTCATCGCTATGGCGGCCAGACTTACTCTTTCTCTCGAGAAAGAGGTGCAGTTCGCTGGCTGGAGGTAATGAGATGCTTTTGTTCCAACAAGGGTCCTCAATATGGAGCAAGTCTCTTACCTCTTTTGATATTACCTGTGTGTGGGTAAAAGAACACCTGCTCAATCAAGACTGCATACATTATTAATAGCAATCTCTCTTCTCTCTCCTTACTTGAATGTCCTTCCAGTCAGTGATCCCAATCTTTGGAAGGTTGGACGAGTTGATCCAGATGAGCTTCCTTCCCGTTATGATGTTGCTTGTAAAGCACTCCTGCCGTTACTAATGATAATAATACTTATAATACTCCTCTACCTTGTATTGAGGGTAACCTAGCGATCCGATCCACTCAGCTACGTCTTTGGCACTCCATTTTAAGCAATAAGGAACATCCTGACCAGCCGCCATCTTGTTGTTATGTAATTTGGTAGCCATAGATACTGTAACCATGGAAACAGTAAAATGAGGTGCCACTTCTTCCAATTGGAACTATTATCATTAATTTTATTAATAAATCAAAAATATTCTCAAAATAGAATTAGCAACAACACTTGTTACATGTAAAAATAATAACAATACTATAAACAGCAACAAATAATAATAATAATAATAATAATAATAATAATAATAATAATAATAACAATCATGATGATACAGCAGATTATTGTGAGTGTGTAGAGTACATGAATAGTTCAGTAAGAGGGCAGACTCTCATCTCTTGGCTTCACTCTGAGCTCCAGCTGGGTGAACAGGAGCTGATCCATACTGACTCAACTGCTCCGGGAGTTTACTCGGATCAGACAATATTGTGGTCTTAACACTGAGCTCTTTCAAACTGCTCATGACAACTAAACAAATGAATAACTAAAACAATGTGACACCATTCAATAGTGTTGTACCAGGTCTGAGGGCGGGGAGGCTGCAGTTCTGATCGCACCAGGAGAGGACAGACTGACATAAAACCTCTGGACTAGCACTAGATACGCTGCTATTGTAGGACTCGAACAAATGCTGTAATATTATACTGTACTGATAATTAGAAACAGTGAGTTAAGGAGGAGAATTGTAAGTTAAAAATGACATTTGGCAACTTTAAAAATTTGTAAAAAATCCAATTTTGATCGGAATTAGTTTAAACTTTCTACACAACATAAGAACATGTATATGTATCAGAAAATGTAATAAAAATGGAGAATTCTCTACTTTCCATTTTTGGCAAAATTTGGCCCGAGACCATGTACTATAGTACAGGGACTTTTGTCCGATTTTGGAGCAATTTAAAAAATTTGTAAAAAATCCAATTTTGATTGGAATCAGCTCAAACTTTCTACACAACATAAGAACATGTATATGTATCAGAAAATGTAATAAAAATGGAGAATTCTCTACTTTCCATTTTTGGCAAAATTTGGCCCGAGACCATGTACTATAGTACAGGGACTTTTGTCCGATTTTGAAGCAACTTAAAAAATTCGTAAAAAATCCAATTTTGATCAGAATTAATTCAAACTTTCTACACAACATAAAAACATGTATATGTATCAGAAAATGTAATAAAATCAAGAACTCTATATGCTTTTCTTTCATATCGTAACATCAGCCAATCTTAATTAAAGCCACACCCAGTAATTAACAAGAGGATACTATCCAGAACTTATAGTTTTGATTGGTTCTTTGTTGCACGTATTCCTTAAAGTGCTGTCTGTTCTCTTCATTTCTCTATAAAAATGCAATAAAGCTCCAGCCCCTGACCCCACCCCTCACCTGTCGTGTTGTGACTAATACTCCAGATGCAGGTAGCTGTTGCTGACAAGAAGTGATTAATTGATTCAAATTTGATATTTCTTCTTTTAACTGGTCAATTCTTTTCTCTCTGGCATCCCTCTCTGTGTGTTTGCTCTCCAAATACTCGATTGCTAAATAAATAATTATTACTAACATTTATTTATTCAGTTATTATTAATTACTTTTTTCCAGAAGTACAGCCTTGCTCACTTTACCTGAGGGGTGCTGTGTTGGGTTGATTACTAAACTTTGGAGCTGCTCAAACCCGTTCTTAATACTGCCACGCCTCTTTTGCTCAGCTGTGATATGAGACTGTCGTCTCAACTCTTGATACATCTTCTTCTCATCTGGCGTCAAGTTACGAGCATTTTTAAACTTCTTCTACAAGAAACTAGTCATTTATCATAAACTATAATAAATACCCACCAATAGAGCAGGTGACACGCCCCCTGCGTTCTCATGTATGTCTGGAGATCTAGTCCGGTAACTAGCGCCTCCTCCTTCTATAAATAGATCAGGTCACATGAGAGTCACCTGACTATACTTACCGCTAGTGGGTGGGGCACTATAAGGTGATACTGAGGGTGAGCAAGCCTGAGGTATTAATAATTATTAATAAATTAATCGGCTCCGCCTACCTGAGCTGCAGCTGCCATTAAGAGACGACTTTGAAAGTCACTAACGCCGGAAGCCTGTTAAACTGTTAATAACTATTAATATAACTAGGTCACACCCACCTTTACTAACTGAGAAGGTGTTGAAGTTTGAACTGGTTCAGTTGCCATGGACTGCAGGTCCAATGATGATTGCTGAGGTGATACCAGTTCCTGTTTAACAATAAGGGGTGGAGCCACGTTGCTAGGTGGGTCCCTCTGAGACCTCTTTGAGCCATCGTGTGTTAATATTGATTTAAGAATCTGGACCGAGGCAGGGTTGGACAGTACAGCAGCTAGGTCCTTCTGCTGCTGTTGTGTTGGTTGTTCACCTGATTCAGAGACGTACTGCTCCAGTAACAGTAGATACTGCTGTGATGCTATGGACTGTTGCTTCTCAATCTCTCTTATCTGCTCCAGCTGCTCCTCCTCAAGTCGTTTCATCTGTTCCGCTATCAACTGCATGTTGGGCTCAACACTTCCTTTGGAGTAGGTGGGGCTAGTTCCAGTAGCCACACCCCTCACCTCCTCCCCTAGTCTGTACTGTGGTCCAGTACGAGGGTAAGATGAAGGCTCACACTGTTGCTGCTGCTGCTGTTGTATATAGAGTGATGGCTCAGGGTACGTGTTGTATAAAGACAAGAGCTCTGATGATTGGGGCGTAGTCACTGGTGGGTGTGGCCCCGTATCATACATAATTGAAGAGGGTGGGGCCTCATCTGTTGTGAAAAGAGGTGTGGGTTTAGTCATGATACTAGTTTGATATGACAGCTTAGGCTGTGGGTGGAGACTGGGATGGGTGTGGCCAGGCCCTAGGTCCATGGACTCTGAATCAGGTCTCAGACCAACCTCTTGATGAGTAGGAGCTACTGGAGGATTGAGAAACCCCGAGGGATTAATGTGGTACTCATTAATGGGCGGGGCTCCAACTGCCCCGCCCACTCCATAGGGAGACCTCATTGGTTGATAAGAACCGGTTCTACTGACCTCTTCTGGAATAGGATCTAATTAATAATAATTAATAAACAAGTATTATTATTATTCATTATTATTACCAAGAGTATATAATACTTAAAGAGAGTATCGAATGGCCCTATACAAGCTGCTGCATGAGGGCGTATTTGCTCAAAGTCACAATCCGCATACTCCAGTATACTTTATCAATGAATATAATTATCGCGTAGACATTGAGTTGCCATTGTCACGAGTTGGCAAGTGCTTGGGGCACAAACTCCTGGATACTAGCAGCACTGCCTTTGTAGTTCATCTTTCCAGCCTTCTTTCGAGCTCCTTTCTCGTATTGGAAGAGATTGCCAAGTTTTAAAAAGCTAAGGGCCAGATAATGTTGCCACATGGTGGATCACGTGATATGGTAAGTATACTGGAGTATGCGGATTGTGACTTTGAGCAAATACGCCCTCATGCAGTAGTCTTCTATAGGGCCGTTCGATACTCTCTTTATATATTATGTACTCTTGTTATTACCCATTGTCTTGTTGGGTGGAGTCATGAATGTCATTGAACTCCCGTAATTAATATCAGATTGATTCCTGTACTGGGCGGGGCCAGTATCAGACATTAAGTACATGTTGCTAGGAGACACTCCTTGAGAAGGCGGGGCCATACTGGGCGGAGTGTTACCAGCAAAAGGCGGTACCGATCCAGCCCTCATGCCCGTGCCATTGAATGATGGAAATATCACTAAAAGTAATTATCATAATTATTAATAGATGTGGCTCCTCCCCTCCCTAATACCTTCCATTGGTTCCAGGTGGTCCAACAGATCGTCCAGTGTTGGGTTTAGCATGTCAAGATTTGGTTGTAACATTTCAGCCGACTCCACTAAAGGCCTCATGTAGGTTCTCTCATCTCCAGGACGAGGGATTACGTTCATAAAAAGATCAGGAAAATCTATAAAGAATGATTGGTAAGCCCCACCCATCAACCATACCCTCTCACCTTCCAGTCCTTGCAACAAAGTGTTTGAAAACCTATCAATAGTAACAAGTACATGTACATGCACCTGTATAAACGGGTTTTAATTACCTGTTAGTCGTGTTACTTAAGTCGGCTTGCACTGCAATGTCTCCCCCTGCCTGTCCTTCCTGTTGCTACAAGTGACGAGGATAAAGAGTGTGATTAGGAGGTGTGGTTAGGGGTGTGGCTAACCTGTGCATTACCAGTGTTTGCTGGTATCCTCTTGATGTTTGACCACGCCTACAATAAACCACAAATTCTAATTGTTTGTCTTAAATTGAAGAGGAAAGAATTACAGGTACATGTACACATTATGGTACAGCTGATTCCCCCACCAGCTGTATAGGCATCCTTACATTTTTCTTCTTATAAAAGAGGCGCCATTTTCTATATTCATTAGCGACAGCCTGTCTTGTTCTCTTCCAATACTTTCCCTCGATCACGACACTCTAATAATTAGAAACAAACGTAACGTGTACAGTACCACATAAAGTGCTCTAATATACACAGACCTGTGGGTTCTTGTGTGAGGCCACGTCTATTTCTGGGTCTACGGCAAACTTGCAAAACTTTGGCTTACAACCTTTTTGAACTAAAGAAGAAGAGAATATGTAGAGGTACAGGTACATACATAAGGTAAAGGAGCTAACACTGAATGTGCCATGATCTCCATATTCCATTGCTCAGTCGTATCTGGTCATTCTTCAAGAGCTGCATGTGACGGTAATGCTTCCACTGGGGGTTTCCCAGCACTCCTCTACACATCCACCATCAGACAACATGTAATGACATTGAGCACCATGTATAGTACACGTACCTGCACTCTACTGTTAGTTTTTGAAAGAGGTTGGCCAGTGAGAGGTCGAGGGAGACGGCAGCCAAACTGTCCCTCCCTCCAAACCTAAAACTCTTGGAATAGTTAGTGAAATCATATCCTTTAGAAGGGACTTCTCGCTGGACCTCCATTGAAAGAGAGGAGAGGATCAAGAGAACTAGGTAGCAGGAAACAGAGGAGTAGAAAGAAAGAGAATCATCATTCAGAACCAAACAGGCAAACACCTTCCCCAATCTCCTGCTCGTGATAGGGTGTGTCTGGAGGCGTGGCTTATTGTGACCACGCCCACCAACCAGGCAATCACTGAAAATGGCCAAGAATATTACCAGCAAACAACTGAACGTTGAGGTAACTACCATTGATGCTGTACTGGAATTCTCCATTGAAGTAAGGAAACATAATGATGAATGATGATATTAATAATAATTGTAATGATAATGATAATTACATGTGAAAATGTACATGTACATGTAAAGCCACGCCCCTATTCATTACAGGGTAAAGCAACAGGTAAACAGCTGTTTGATTTAGTGACGAGGACCCTGGGACTGAGGGAGGTCTGGTACTTTGGACTAATGTTTACTGACGCTAAAGGTTTCAAGACTTGGCTGAGATACGATAAAAAGGTGAGACATACAGTTACATGAAACAACCTCTACCTGTACAGGGCAAGAGGAACTTCAAAGATTTGTAAAATGCCCACACTTGATCGGAATCAGCTCAAACTTTCTACACAACATAAGAACATGTATATGTATCAAAAAATTATAAAAATGGAGAATTCTCTACTTTTCATTTTTGGCAAAATTTGGCCCGAGACCATGTACTATAGTACAGGGACTTTTGTCCGATTTTGAAGCAACTTTAAAAATTCATAAAAATGCAAATTTGATTCTGTATAAGAGGCACACTTCTTTGTTCATGTCATGATTGTCGTCCATAGATCATTGATCAGCACATTCCTAAGGACAGCGTCGTTGGCTTTAAATTCCGTCCAAAGTTCTACCCAGAGGATGTGAGCACTTTAATAATGGAAGTAACAATACATCTGTTCTATCTGCATGTAAGAGAGGCGGGGCTTATCATTATTATTATTATTATTATTATTATTATTATTATTATTATTATTACTATAGTGTAAGGAAGATATTATTGATGAAAGGATCTATTGTTCTCCGGAGGCGTCGCTGCTATTAGCATCATTTGCATTACAATCTGAAGTACAGCTGCTACAACTTTTGAATTAACACACACACTCTCTCTCCTTCCTTTGTATAGTACGGACCTTATGATGAATCTGTCCATATTCCTGGCTTCCTTAATAACCAGCACTTACTACCTTCAAATGTATGCCCACACGCATTAATTAATTAATTGTAATGTGCCACACCCATATTAATTAATCAATGATTATTAATAGGTGATCACACAGTTTGATCTCACTCCCCAGCAGTGGGAGGTTCAACTGATAGACTTATGGACCAAACACACTAACATGCTAAAGTAATGATGTCATGTGATGTCATATGATGTCATAATGATACTGTAGGAGTGAAGCTGAATTAGAATATTTAAAAATAGCCCAAGACTTGGAAATGTACGGAATTAATTATTTTGAGATCACAGTAAGTTGATTAATAATAAACAAATAGTTTTTATTAAAGCAACTTTGTTTCTTGGCACATCTTGTGTTACTAATTGCACAATTATAAAGGAACCCTTTTATGTATTGCCACCACCTGCTCTCAATCCCTCCTCCTCTTTTAGAATAAGAAAGGGTCCCAGCTGTGGTTGGGTGTAGATGCTTATGGTCTAAATATATACAACCATGACAATAAAGTACAACCAAAGATATCATTTCCATGGGGTGAGATTAGAAATGTTGAATATCACGGGAAAAAGGTAGCGACAATAATAAATTATTATTACCATTATTGTTATTGTTATTATTATTATTATTATTATTATTATTATTATTAGTTCTGCATTATGCCAGAGGACAGGAATTCACCAGATTTTGTATTTTATGTACCAAAAACTAAAATATCTGACCTAGTAAGTTATTATTATCATTATTACTGTATATTGATTGGTTGCTTTGATGTGGTTTGATGACATTAATAGTTTAATGCACATTCCAGTGTTTGGTCTATAATAAAGTTCATTGAGCAGTCACTATTTGTACTATTACACTACCAGACTCACTGCCTTCTCTTCCTCTCTCTCTCTCTCTCTCTCTCTCCTTCAGATCATGCAACTTTGTGTTGGCAATCATGACCTTTATTTGAAGAGAAGGAAGCCAGCTACCATGGAGATACAGCAAATGAGGGCTCAAGCAAAGGAAGAGAGGAGCAGAAAGATAGTAAGTTTTGGGTAGGAGGCCGGCCATTTTGATATGTCTTTTCTTTGAAAAGATGGAGAGAGACAAGCTTGAGACTGAGAAGGCAGCAAGAATGCAACTTGAAAGAGAAAAGAAAGAACTGGAAGAAAGACTCATAGCATTAGAGAAGGAGAACCAACAGGCACATCAAGCAAAAGTATATCATCATTAATGAAGAACCTTCATCTCTCAGCCCTCTCTTTCAGTTGGCAGCAGAGACAAGAGCACAGATAATGGAGGAAAGAATGAAAATAGCAGAAGAACAAACACACAGTTTGACAAGGAAGAAGATTGAGACTGAAGCTGAGATGCAGCGAGTTAGAGCCTCAGCTATTAAAGTGAGGAGAAGATAATGGAGTAATGACAGGAGCCATGGTATTGTTAAACCCTGCTTGTGTTGTAGAGTGAAGAGGAAAGAATAGTCATGAAGAAGAAAGTCATCAAAGCAAAGGAGGAGGCAGCAAGTTTACAACAAACAGCACAACAGGAGAGACAAGAAGCAGAGAGCTTAAGGAAACGACTTGAGAGAGCTCACATTAACAACTCACCTCCTTCACCACTGACTTTACAATACAAAGACACTTCACCTACAGTCAAGACACCTACTTCACTAGTATGAATATATACTTTACGTATTATTAATTCTTATTTTATATTTATACAGCTGTCATCAGAATTAGGTGATTCCAATGATACAGTTGTTGATGTGTTGCCTAATGGAAGCAGTTCAGTTGATGTCAGCAATACTGAAGATCTTGCTACTGAATTACAAAAACAGCATGAGGACTATTGGCAGCAGTCACAATACTTGAGTGAGAAACTAACAGCACTTCAAAATGAAGTAGCAGACTTTAAACAAGAAGAGAAAGAGAAGGAGTCCTCTCCATTGCCTCTAGTCAGAGGAGTGAGGGGGAAAGAGAGAAAGAGCAAGACTGAGGTTTCCACCACTCAAAGGATCCATGCCTCAATAGTGAGACAAAGCTCACATAAGCACTATACTTATGACAAGGTTTGAGTATAACAGTACAGCACTATTGATGGTTTTACTTATCTTTTGTTAGAGTAAATCTGGTTCAACTAAATCCCGAATCGAGTTTTTTGAAGATTTATGAGTTGGAGGGTCGTATTGCTGTTATCAATACTTATATTCAATGACTATTTCATTCTATTTTAATCATTATTGTGTATTTTCATCACTCAGTCAGTATTTTAATGATAATTATAACTATCTTGTGGTTGAAAGAAACCTGCTACAGTTTCAGTTACAATAGATGCACTTACAGATCAACTGTACAACAATAAGTATGGATTATAGTACTCTCCCTCACCATAAGGTTCTTACTGCTCATTTGTAATGGCAGCTAATTCTCTGATTAGTTTATTGGTAGCTGTTAGTACCTGAGGTAGGAACTGCTCCTCTTCTTGTTCTGATGGTCTTAGGGAAGCCGTCTTTAAGAACTGGTGCCTGCTGTCCCAGTTACCAACAACTCTATCAATATACCATTAATTAGTGTACTTAGTAATTAATAATACCTATATGACCGGCCTTTAATAATAGGAGAGAATTTGACACCCTACGTGTATATAATAATTATTAGTATAATATCATATACATGTACTTACCATCTCCCAGTAGCAACACCTAAAGGAGAGAGAGAGAGATGATGATGATGGATTATGAAGAACATTACAATTACTTGACAGTTCCACTGCTTGTCTTCAATAGAAACTGTTGACATCCAAACTCACCAGCAGTCACCAGACTAATGGCCGTACCTACAGTTATTATAAATGCACACAACATTCACTGGATATAATTTACCAAACAGTTCAAACGTGAGGTGTTCTTGTGTTCCATTCAACAGGTTCCATTGTTGTATTCCTTGACCTGTTGTAGTGATAACACGTGATATTCCTCCTCCTTTCTTCAATGCCCTTCCTTTCCCTCCTGCCATTACTCCTTTACTGCTAGTAGTGCTTTCAAGCATCTTTTTTGGCTAGGGAATAATAATAATAATAACAGCTGTAATGATACTAAATAAATAAATGTAATGATACCTGTTCAATGTATCTCTGTCCTTCTCTTTCTTGTCCTAATTCTTTTCTAACCGTTGGTTGTTGACTGGTAGTTGGTTGTGTATTATCAATCAATGGTTGTTGATTGTATTGTGAAGGAGCATTATAAGTACTGCGGGATCCACCAGGAGGAGGATATGAGACACAATGGGGAGGAGGAAGAGGAGGGTAAGAATGGCTGGTAGTGTTTCTAGAGTAGTAGCTATTAGTGGGCCCTGCTGCTGCAGAATGAGCTGCAACTTGAACTGGCTGGACATTCTCTTGACTGCAGGAGGAGAGAGAATTAATGTTAATTAGGTAAACTTTCAGACTAAAATGACTTAAAATTTCACATACAATAGATAATCAATAATTACATGTAAACAGATGTACTTTGTTCTTTTCCTGTCGATAACGTTACTGTATCCTCCCCTTCCCCTTCCCCTAGTCCCCGCTCTATAGGCTTGTGGAGGCCATTTCTTTTCAGCTGCTTCCCTCCAGTTCCAAGAGCCAGTGCTGCTAGTATTGCTACTCCAAGTGGAAGGAGGTATTGCTGCCTCTTCTCCAATGATGTTGTTAGGATGTGAATAAAGAGCTACTCTTGGTCTTTTGGCATTAGATCCACCCCTCCCTCTTCCTTGCTGGTTCACTTTACCAAACATTGGGAAAGGTCCTAAAAAGAATAAAACTAGTCATTCAATAGCTACAGTGGTACCTGCTACTGGCCTTTTGTTCATCTTCTAACTAAAGAACATCCAGAACAGAATTAAGTAAGAGCAACGTGACTACACGTGTATGTTCACAGCTGTTGCTAGGCAACAACCGCCTAGTTATTAAATAGTTATAAAAACTAGTTATTAAAAATGAATGAGTTGATGAATGAACATAACTATGAGAGTTCAAGGTTTGTAACTGGTTGCATCTCTTGATGAAGACTCTCCACCTTCTCCTATTTGAAAGTTCATGTCTTCAAGCATTTGTCTAGCACGTCCCAATCCTCTCTCATGAAACTTGAGCTTATGCTTGGCAACGACACGTGACTGGTAGATAATAAGAGGAACTGCCATTACACACAATACAAACAGGATCAGTATGGTAGCTGTTGCTGCATGAATGCTTTCATGTTCCGATGTTTCCGTTGGATAGAACTTGACGAAAGCAACAAGTATGATCTCTGTAATAAGTAAAATAATTCCAATGACGTTAGAGAGAACCCAACAGAGCTGTACAGTGAAACTCTTGGCAATATCAAGAGAACTGCTAATATCTCCAGTACCAGCTGCTTCTAGTTCAGGTAGGAGGAAAGTAGCCAGCATCAGTGAGAGGAGATGAATGAAGACTAGGACTGCACTGTGCATTGCAAATATGATCAGTAATGGAACAGGTGTAGTTGGACTAACTTCAATCTCTACCAGACCAACCTGTAAGAGGGAAACTACTGGTAGGATACAGTTCAGTTGGTTACTATGAGGGGGAAATTTCGACATTTTGATATCAATTTGCCAAAATAAAACCAGCCATTCACATGGGTATCAAACTAAAGCTATAAACAGAAATAAAACCCGGCAAGTACATCCCACAACAGTAAGGTAATAGGAGTATCATATCCTTATCTTTAAAGGCCCTCCCAACATTCAAAGCTGGGACCATTAGGGGTGTGAATCAAACAGTACATATACACCATTACACTTTCAAGTGACACTCATCTTGCTAGTACTGACTATAGCAAATCCAGCCAATAGTGTGGAGCTCCTTATGGAGGACTTGAGCTTTGACTTGCTTATCATTAACACATGGAGCTCATACTGTACATCTGAGGGAGCAGCCATTTTGTACACATTAAAAGAAGGAGTGGCTTTGGAAATATTTGCAGTGACTTTTAATGTTTTTTGACTTTTTGGTGTGTTAAAATAAAATATAATCATAAACATAATCAATAAACATCACAAGATGGAATCAGATGAGAATCTCTTGTTAGAGATGGGTGGCTCTGAAAAGAGCCGGTTGAATAAAGTTCAATGGATGGTTGCCCTGTTTAGGCTCTCTCTCCACGGATGCGGCGAGCTAGCTGAATGTCCTTGGGCATGATGGTCACTCTCTTGGCATGGATAGCACACAAGTTGGTGTCCTCAAAGAGACCGACAAGGTAAGCCTCACTGGCCTCCTGAAGAGCAGCAACAGCAGAGCTCTGGAACCTGAGGTCAGTCTTAAAGTCCTGAGCAATCTCACGGACCAGCCTCTGGAAGGGAAGCTTCCTGATGAGGAGCTCAGTCGACTTCTGGTAGCGACGGATCTCACGGAGAGCTACGGTACCAGGACGGTAACGATGAGGCTTCTTGACTCCTCCAGTAGCTGGGGCACTCTTACGAGCAGCTTTGGTGGCTAGCTGTTTCCTTGGAGCCTTTCCACCAGTGGATTTACGAGCAGTTTGCTTTGTACGGGCCATTGCTTCTTTTTCTTGAGAGAGGATGAGTTGGAGGAGGTGCGCTAGATTCTATGGACACTGAGTTTCTTCTTGTTGGGTCTCTCCTTTTTATAAGGAATAAAGCCCGCGCTTTTCTCTCTACGATCACGTGATCTTTCATGCTGACTCAGCACATTCCAGAGACAAAATCCATCAAGTGATCCTCAAGGTCTTGTTTGGTTAATTAAACATAACCATTAGGAGGTGTGCCTCATAAAACAGCAAATGAAAGCATAGAGATGGATCTTGTAGTGGTCCTGTTGCTCCGTAGGTCAGGAGGGAAGTACCTCCTCGTTGAGGATCAGAATACTAAACTCCTTAAGCTTCCGTCGAAAGGGCTTGATGTCTCTAAAGATCATGACACTGCCTCTGTAGTACAATCACTTATGGAGGATGTTAGTTTTAAATTAGTATAATAACCTGTCAGTAGTTCAGTAATCTTACTTTTGCATTTCTTTGTTCTAATTTGGTAATTTTTTGCACCACACAAGCTTTGCATACATTATGATCTGGGGCTTAATGAAAATTATTATTATTATTGTTATTTATTAGGATTTAAATGTAAGCGGTAAACCAAAGGGCATCTTGAAACTGACCCAATACACTGCAGTGCCCCCTGTCCTCACTATTGTGGTGGTTGCTGATGAGGTGAAGCCCAGGTATGATCAGGCCACACCCATACAGTTCTTCTGGTTGTCGGGTCCTGAGATCCAGCGAGAGAATATCATAGTTGATCAGTACTCGCTGGGTCTTGTTAGCCAGCTGGAGAATAATGCGCCTGTACACTCAATGGAACTCCTGGAGACTGTAGAGGGCAATGGATTGAGGAGGATTCACGGGATACTGGAGAAACAGATGCTGGAAGAAGCTGGATATGGACAATATGGTAATAATGATTATTATTTTGAAAAGGGAGGCACCTGGTTTGTTTATCAAACATCAGACTCCCTGTTGGCACTTTATCAATAAACAAGGTTATCATCAACCCCTCCCCTCTCTCTCCCTCTAGAATTGGATCAGATTGCTGAAGAGTTTGTGAGGATATGTGGATCACCCAGTGGTATGATCAACGCTCAGGAATTTGGTGACCTTGTGGAACTATTTGGTTGGCCGCCTGACAAAACTGTTGACTGCTTCAGGTTTGATGCTGTTCTATATTTAGATATTGTAGCTATTAATAGTAACACCATTAATAATAACATAATGCTATTAATAGTAACATTATTTCAGGTCCCTGAGGTCTAGTATTGAAGGTGGTTTGACGTTGGAAGAGTTGCAGGTGGGTCTGTGTGCACTGGACCCAGCCACACCCCATGGCTCAGTCTCTGGTCAGCTAAGGTGCCAGTTTATATTTCGGTTTTATAACGTATCGGGAAAAGGGTTCATGTCATTTCAGGAGTTTAGGTACTAACATGTACAATGTATCCTCCATTTTGTATCTGTAATTATAGAGAGATGGTTAGAGATATCTTTATATTTAAAAACCAACTCAACGAAAAGACTTTTGAAAAATCCCTGATCGACAACTGGAAGTAATAATAACACTTGCTGTTAATAGCCTGTTATTATTACTAATTGATATTTTAGAGTTTTTGGTGTTACGGAAAGCCATGGTCTTTCCATGAGCAAGTTCCTTACGATAGTGGGACAGCTCAAGTTCCGAGGTACTTCAGTTTTGTTCCGTCTGCCCCAGAGCCCAGTCAAGCACCAAACTGACCCTTACAATATCCCAGAGAGACCAAACTGTCCTTCTCCTTGCCCCTCCCCCTTTAATGTAAAGCTGAGGCCAATCAGACCAAAGGAACCTCAAACTGATGATGAACACATGGAAGTATCTTTGAACGATACCAGTATATGTATGTATTAGCAGCTGCTAATGTTAAAATTATCTTCTTAATAGTTAGTGGTTCCGACAAACCAGCAACTGGTCCTATGTCTGCTACTGACTCTAACGACCTTGGGTTCACCATAGCAACCCACTCTGTCAAGGTACCCTACACCACCATATCTGCCATTTTAAGTAACCAGCTGCTCCCTTCCTCCATTAGGTGAAGAGGAGTGGTGCCCTCTCTGACGTTACCACCATATGGGACCTTGTGGGTACTGAAGCTGTATCAGGGACAGTGAGGGACCTGTTGGACCCTCACAAACCGTCTTTTGATAGACTCCCCTCCATCAAAGCATTTGATAAAGTAAGGGAAGGATAATGTGGACCTGTTTATTTATTTATTTATTTATTTATTTATTTATTTATTTATTTATTAATTTATTTATTTATTTATTTATTTATTATTGTTCTAGGCCTCAAAGTCTAACGAGATGCTTTCTGGTTTGCGTTATTTTGAACACGCCCTCAGAGATGATGGGCGGGGCCGAGCTAAAGCCGGTTTCTCGTGGGGCGCTATTGATATGGGATCAGTCGCCAGGTGCTTCTTGACCATCTGCTCTCAAGCAGTCGATATATTCGCTAATGAGAACAGACTGTTACCTGTAAAATCACCCTGCTACGTATTAGGTATACCGCTAGTATATTATTAGTATATTATTAGTATATTATTACAGGTGATCTTCATGGTAATTTTCATGATTTGATATGTTTTGAGAAGGTTTTGTGGCGCATGGGCCCTATACTGACACCTGCTTCATTCATGTTCCTTGGGGACTATGTTGATAGGGGGGACTTTGGATTTGAGGTTCAGTATATTAATAGTATATTAATAGTATATTATTAGTATATTATTTGTATTCATTAGGTCATTTCCTATTTGTTTGCTCAGAAGTTGTTGATGCCCTCAAAGTTTCTCCTCATCCGAGGGAACCACGAGATAAGATCAGTACAAGAGTCCTTCACTTATAAAACGTAATGACTCTCCATTTTACATTGCTCCACCTCCTTTCCTTCCCTCCAGTGAGTGTTATCATAAGTTTGGTGAGTCATTGGGTGAGGAAGTTTGGGAGGCAACTAACACTGTCTTTGATGCTATGCCAGTTGCAGCTGTCATTGATGAAAAGGTTCACATTATTAACTTTTATTTATTTATTTTATTGTTATTAGGTGTTTTGTGTTCATGGTGGTATACCACACCCTTCTCATGGGGGCGGGTACATATCAGCCATTAATGACATACCCAATCATTTACCTGAGCCAGCAGAAGGCTCTCCTCTAGCCTGGGACATCATGTGGAATGACCCAATCAGGTAACTCTCACTCTTAAAGTAGTTGCTCCAAAATCGGACAAAAGTCCCTGTACTATAGTACATGGTCTCGGGCCAAATTTTGCCAAAAATGGAAAGTAGAGAATTCTCCATTTTTATTACATTTTCTGATACATATACATGTTCTTATGTTGTGTAGAAAGTTTGAGCTGATTCCGATCAAAATTGAATTTTTTACAAATTTTTTTAATTGCTCCAAAATCGGACAAAAGTCCCTGTACTATAGTACATGGTCTCGGGCCAAATCTTGCCAAAAATGGAAAGTAGAGAATTCTCCATTTTTATTACATTTTCTGATACATATACATGTTCTTATGTTGTGTAGAAAGTTTGAGCTAATTCCGATCAAAATTGGATTTTTAATGAATTTTTAAAGTTTCTCCAAAATCGGACAAAAGTCCCTGTACTATAGTATATGGTCTCGGGCCGAATTTTGCCAAAAATAGAAAGTAGAGATGATTTTTATTACATTTTCTGATACATATGCATGTTCTTATGTTGTGTAGAAAGTTTGAACTAATTCCGATCAAAATTATATTTTTTACAAATTTTTAAAGTTGCTCCAAAATTGAACAAAAGTCCCTGTACTATAGTACATGGTCTCGGGCCAAATTTTGCCAAAAATGGAAAGGAGAGAATTCTCCATTTTTATTACATTTCCTGATACATTTCTTGTTATTTTAGGAAGGAAGATGAAGACAATGATGATTCTCTAAGGACGGAACTGGTCGGTAATGAAGGTTTCATTGATAATGACTCAAGAGGCACTGGACACATGTTCAGGTTAATTAAAACTTATAATTTTATTCATTTATTTATTTATTTATAGTTCTGATGCCTTGGATTCTTTCCTAAGGCGGAACAATCTCTCCCATGTGATTAGGGCCCATGAAGTGAAGGAGACAGGCTTTCAGGTAACATAAGAGTATATTAATAGACACTTGTCATCATCAGTTTGTTTGTTTGTTAGTTGCAACAAAATGGCCGCCTCCTAACAGTGTTTTCGTCCTCTCATTATTGTGGCTCTACTAATGAAGCTGCTTGTGTACTCGTTGATAACAAGAAAATTAGGACAATTCGTCTGGACACACGATCATAATTATTAACCCATTATTGTTATTATTATTATTGTTATTATTATTATTATTATTATTATTATTATTATTACATTATTTCTATCGCTATGCTATTTTTGACTCCTCCTACTTTATATCCCTCCCTTACTCTTACTAAATTAAAGCAATACCCATTCACTCAATTAATTAATGTACAACTATTAATTATTTTGCCGTATAGTTCTATATTCTAATTATATGAATATTTGTTTGAAGTGAATAATTTTTAAAACAAAATGGCGGCAAACAGCAAGTCCTCTTCTTCTCCTGTCAATCTCTCCAGCGAGTGGTTAGAGCTGGAGAGTGATCCCGGTCTCTTTACTCTCCTCATTCAGGACTTTGGAGTGTCCGGAGTTAAAGTGGAGGAGCTTTATGATGTCAATGCTCAGGAGTTCCGTGGGGGCGTGTACGGGTTCGTGTTCCTGTTCCAGTGGGTGGAGGAGAGACGAGCAAGGAAGAAGACCTTCCTTAATGATGACTGCTTCGTGACGGAGCCATCAGTACTGAGGAACATGTTCTTTGCACACCAAATTGTAACAAATTCTTGTGCCACCCACGCACTATTAAGTATATTGCTTAATTGTGAGGGGGAGGGGCTTGATTTAGGTCACACCCTCCCTCTTTTGAAGGAGTTTTGTCATAATTTGGATCCGGAGGCAAGAGGTTATGCAATAGGGAACATGCCGGATTTAGCCACTGCTCACAACAGACACGCTCGACCTGAAGTAGTTAGACCCAGCCCACCTCCATCCAAAAGGGGCGTAGTCTTGGCAGCCACACCCTCCTACTTATCGGAAACCTACCACTTTGTTAGTTTTGTCCCGATTGGGGAGAGGCTGTTCGAATTAGACGGATTGAAGGAGTGGCCAATCGACCATGGTCCCTGGGCGGAGTCTGAACACTGGACAGACCTGTTTAAAAGGATAATAACTCGACGACTGAACGAAGGAGACGGAATACAGTTCAACCTCATGGCACTCATACCAGATCCACTTCCTCAACTATCGGAGGACCTTCAGCGATACCACAGCAGGGAGAGAAGACTGTTGGACACTGCTTATGGCCTAGCTAGGGAAAGAGTACTGGGAAAGAAGATTAGCAGTGAAGACTCAATCATTGACGTGGAAAATATCTCTGATGAGAAGGAACCCCAACCTCCTCCTTCTGCTAGTAATGAAGAAGAAGGGAGGTCATGTTTGAATGAAAGTGATTTGAATAAGAAGATTGGAGACCTCCTTCAGACCATATCATCCTCTACTGGTCAGGGCAGCTGTTCCGAGACTAACAGTTTAGAACTCGTTGTGAAAGATATCACTGAGAACAGGAGCCTTCTCTTCTCGGCTAAAAGAAGATTTACTGAAGAACTTGAAAGCAGAGAAAGGTATCGGGTTGAGGCTGATAGAAGGACTCACGATTATGATCGGTTCTTTGGAGAATACTTTAAAAACCTGGCAGCACATAAGCTCCTTCCACAAAGGATGTTGGAGGGAAGGAGGAACAACCGGAGGAGCCACAAGAGAGGACGAGGGAAGAAACTAACAACAGCTGCAACTAAAAACAAAACAATAACTAACGGAAGTAACAACAGCACTGGACACTCTGTCTATTACTGAATTAATGTGTAGTCTCAATTGTACACTATAAGTTTATTGTTTATAATGAAGTTCAATTTACTGATCGGAATCAGCTCACACAAGTACATCTATATGCATCAGGGAATACACTACCAGTCACTTTTGATGAAATGAGTTAATTGGTTTACAATGGTCGTTAACAATAAAAGGGGTGTGGCATAATACTACTAATAAAACTAATGAAAACTAACAAAGCAGCTAATGAAATATCCTAAACTAGTTAATTAATAGTTATTAAGATCAACAAGGAGGCGTGGCCAGAACTACTGACTCAAAATGGCGTCAAGAGAAGACTGGACCAAAGGAACAACATTCATAGCATTAGTCTTGAGAGACAACTAAATGAATAAATAGATGTAAATTAATAAAACTAAATAAATAAATCTTACTGTAGTCTGTCCATTTCTAAGTATCTTCAGTTCCCCTAGGACAGTGAGTCCATTTATCAGCTTAGTAGACACATACAGTAGCACCTGCTCATAAAATAATATTTAAATAGTTCAAATACCAAAAACCCGTCAAACCTGCATATCCTCTCCAACCGTACGCTCAGCAATAATGAAGACATTGTTGGCCTCAAGTTTAGTTTTAACTGAGTCAAGATCTGCCAAAGGATAGCTGAGAGTTTTCTGGACCTCATTAGACGAAGGCAACTCTTTCCAAGAGGAGAGGAACACTTTACGATCTGAAGTAATGAATCAATAATGAATCAAGAATGAATCAATAATGAACTCAAACTCATTGCCAATACTCACCCATCTTCCCATCTTCAACAAACAGTGTGTAGGCGGGAATATTGCAGCTGAAATAAAACACGCCCACATTGTTCTTGACAGCAACCTGAAGGAGATCAAGAGGATTCATTAGCATCACCACACCTCCTACAAGTAATAAGAACATTATTATTATTATTATTATTATTAACTAACCAGTAACCAGTTCAAGAGATGTGTTAAATGGCTGGTTAGGAAAGAGAGGGCTTTGGACATACAGCTGGGCAGCAGGAGCCAATCCAAAACTAGAAGAAAGATTAAACCAGTTACTAAAACAAGTATTTCAAACCTGTTTTTGTTGAACTGGATAGCAAAGTCAGACATGGGCCCCAGTGCTTTGTTAGTGAAGGTGGCGTCTAGAAATACTTTACCGTTTCTTCGAGCAAAAGTACCCGATATCTCAAGACCTTTCCCTTGAGTGCTATTGAGCCAAACCTACAGTAAAGAGACAGAGCCATCTTTAACATGAAGCTCTCTCTCTCTCATATCATTACTGTTTTAGGTGCTACTAAGTTGTTTGGTTGAGGAGCTGGGGCAGATAAGGAGAAGAAGTCCATACCCAGCCCTGCCATTGAGGCTGGGGGCGGGGCCGTCACCATACCACCACCAAGAGGACCACCCAACTAGTGATGAGCATTAATTAGAGTATAGAGGGTGTGGCTTACTTGAAGACCTCCTATTCCACCAGATAACATATCAAACTCTGCCAAACCTCCTCCTCCTATGAATATAATTAATTATAATTAATGACCACACACTTACCACCGATAGTGGGCGGGGCTGCATTATAAGAGGGTAAGTCAAGAGAGAGTAGGTCCCCGAGGAGGTCCCCAGTCCCAGGATCCTGGGGGTCCTGGGGGGGCGTCGGCTGAGTATCACTAGACACTGCAGACAATTGCTCAGGAGGTTGATCCTCTGTAGTCTCTGACTCCGACCTAATAATAATAATAATAATAATAATAATAATAATAATAATAATAATAATAATAATAATAATAATAATAATAATAATAATAATATTGATGATGATGATGATGATGATGATGATGATGATAAATATTCACTTACTGCTGAGGTCTCTTGTCCAGTGTTATCTTCCTCACTGGTATCTTACCCTCCACAAAGGCTGAAGGAGGTTTGTGATAAACTGAAGCTAAAGTTGAAATGTGACACAAGAGCTCGTCCAGAAGGGAGGGTTCCAGAAGGTCAGTCTCCTCCGATATGACAGGTTTCTCAGCTAGTACCACCTCCTACAAGAGATAAGGATCATCAGTTGATTTAAAGGAACTGATGCCTCACCTTAGCAGCTGCTGGGTCAGTGGAGAGGAGTCTCCAGTATATGTAGCCTCTGTCCCGTAGGTCAGGGTTATCAGTGTCCTAGGGGTGGGGTAATGGGTGTGGTCAAGAGTGATCAGTACCTGAGTGGCTTTAGTGAGAACCATCTGAACCAGCTCTTGGGTTGTTGTTGGTTTCTTGAGAAAGAGTTTCACAACAGCTGTCAGTAGTTGGAGTTGAACCTTTAGATATGAATACTAACAGTATATTCTCTAATTATAAGTACTTGAGGATTCTCGTCTTGAAACCCTTCAAGGAAGGAACCAAGTATTTCTTCAACTTCGTCAATTCTGTCACAATATTCTCCCAATATCCAAATCATTGATGCCCTGGGAGGAGTCAATAATGACAAACCACACCCCCCACTAATTACCTTGCATCAGGCTCATCAAGTGAGTCCAAGTTCTGACAGAGTGTTGATATGATACCCTCGTACTGGTTTGGGTACTTACGGAAAATATCCTGTAACGATATAACTCAGTATAACTCAGTACACACCAGTAAACTAACCTTGATAACAACAATGGCCTCCTGCACTACATAAGTCACTTTAGTCTGTATCAGATCCACTAGAGTGGAGACACACTTGTCAGCTGAAGACTGGGTTAATTAATAATTGTTAATCAATCTATTATTATTAATTAATTAATTACTTCAACTTTAATGGCACAGCGTCCAATGGCACGAACTGACTTACGAACAAAATCTACATCAACTTCAGTCGCATACCTAAAATAATAATAATAATATTTAATAATTAATAATACATTAATAATGTTGTACATGTACATATACATGTTCTTATGTTGTGTAGAAAGTTTAAACTACAAAATTGAATTTAAAAAAATTTTTTTTAAAGTTGCTCCAAAATCGGGTAGAAGTCCCTGTACTATAGTACATGGTCTCAAAAAAGGAGAGAATTCTCCACTTTTATTAGATACATCCCTTGATATAATGTGCATTGGTGCATCATGTACTTACTCTTTAAGTTCTGATAGGATGCTTGAAATGTTTTGTGAAGTACAGAGTCGTATCATGACATCCAGTTTCTCCAGCTTCACGTATATCGGGTCGTTGTACTTAACAAAGAAAACCTTAATCTCATCACGAAGGATCTCGGGGCTAAAGGGGAGGAGCCATTAATTAATATTCATAGCTTATTAATATTCATAGCTCACCGTTTCTGAACTATAAGATTAATGTTCCTCAATGCTACGTACTGTATCTCAGCTTCAGTTGACAACAACGTAACTATTAATAAACCACACCCATCAATAATCAACCACGCCTAGTAATTAAACATACCAAGGGGCGGGGCTAGTTTACGTGTGAGTCCTTGTAGGTAGCCGGAGTCTTGAGGTAGTATATCCATCATTTGCATGAGAACCTGTTAATTAACCATCAACCAATAACTATTAATAACTAAACGTACTTTAACTGCCGAAAGGACAACAGCTGCATTAGCATGAGATAATCTAGGAGTGACCCTCTCACAAATACTGAATTAATTAATCAATCAATCAATCAATCAATTAATAGGATATGTACATGTACCTTTGAGCCTCCCTCTCCTCCGACGGGTGATAATTAGAAATAGAGTCCAGTATAAAGACTTGTCCCCATTCAGTGCACTCATTAAGAGCAGTCAGGAGTTTATTAATAGCAGGCGTGTCTAATTCCCCGAGATCAGCAGCTGCAGGAGACGTCTCGCTGATCTCAGCTAGAGAAGCAACAGCATTAGCAACGACCTATGAGGGAAGTGGGTGGAGTAGGTAGGTGTGGCTAACATGGTTACCATGGGAACAGAGTCTGAGAGTAGCTCCCTGAGTAGGTCAAGGAATCCCTGCTCTTCAACCAGTTGAGAGTTGATATCGTGTAACTTGGCAACACAGACTGCGGCTGTCTTCCTCACATAAGGATCCTCATCCTTATAAGGGAGGGAGGGGGAGGGGTCATTAATAGATATTCTCACTCTTACCTTTAAACATTTCCTCAGTGGGTCACAGAGATATTCAGTTATTTTATCCACCCTGATACAACCCATCGTCCTAACGGCCAGTGCCCGAATGAGAGGATTAGGATCTTCACAATCCTAAGGAGTAACACATGATCAACACATGATCACTAGTAATCATGAAACACTACTGACCCAATATACATGTAACACACTCAATTAAAGTACTAGCCCCTCCTCCTCGTTACCTTTGAGAATGTATTGACAGCTAATATTGCCAGGTCGGGCTGAGACTTGGCATAGTTCATGAGGTAGAGATAGACCAGCTTCTTGAGCTCAAGGTTGTCAGTTTGCATGCAATTGACAATGTCAGGGAACAAGGAACTGACATCCTTCCCGACCGTCATGTTAGCAATGATCTTCTTGATGGCATCTTTCTTCTTATCTCTCTTGTCTCCCTGGAGGTCAGCTCTCAACTCTGCCAATTCACCTGTAAAGGAGAGAGAGTGTGTGTGTGGTTAAGGTACTACTAGTAGATACTCTACCTTTCTTTGTGGTAGTGAAGTATTTAGCGTCAGACATGATGAGAGAAGGACAATATGAAGTAACTAAACAATAAAATAAAAATGGAGAGAGAGAGAGAGGGCGACTTACCAGAACAAAAATGGGAGGGTAAAGAATCACGTGATCTAACCCAGCCCTTAATGCATCACGTGACCCAGTTGTGGGTGTGGTTAATTTCAAAATGGCTGCCATTACGAAGGTTCTGCCCAGGTACCTGACCCAAATGATTCCAAACCACAGGCTGGTACTCTCTCCTTTCCTGTGCCTCCAGGCCTGCTCCTATAAGACAGTCGCATCCCTTAAGCTCAGGTGTAGCTCGTGTCGCTTTGTAACAAGAAAGAAAAGAAGAAGAGTTGTGTGTTCAGCCAAACCAAAGCACAAGCAAACGGAGGGAAGGCCAAAAAATCACAGATAATTTAATAATTATTTTATAATATTCGTCATACAAAATAGCACGAAACAATTGACAAGAAAATAGACCAGAACATAATAATAATGTGAATAATAGTAATAATAATAATAATAATAATAATCATGATTAAGAATAATAAAATGATGACAATGACAAGCTAGAAAGATGCGGTATCTTCCTGGGAAATTAAAAAACATGGCGGGTGTTTCCCAGGAAAACAGACAATAAAAGTATAATACCTAAATATGCAAAAGATTGTCAACTGATTTTGAAAGATTAATTGGATGAGAAGGAGACCGAGTGATGGGCGTGTGCTTCCTGCAGAGTCGGGCCAGCCTCTCCTGGAGGTCACTGAACGGGGGTCTGTCCTGGGGCTGATGGGACCAGCACTCCCATACAATATCCTGAAAATATACTGACATGAACAAGTACGAGGAATACAGTAGAGATATACCTTGAGCTTCTTTGGAGTCTCGCCCTTGAAAGGCTGTCGGTGACCGTGACCAACAAGAAATATGACCACTTCAAATTCATAGGCAAAACCGAGACTGTCCGTGGAAAATGGAAACCGTTTGGTGATGAGTTCGTACAGGATAGTCCTGGGGCAATGAATAATAATGAGACTGTTGATTAATTGAAAACCTACCCAAAGGCATAAACATCAGTTGCATAATTGTACGAGTAAGGTTCTTGATCAATCTGTACAACTGGAGTAGGCGATATCTTTCGAATTATCTCGGGGGCCAGAGAATATAACTGAGCCCTCGGGAAAGTGACCACACCTCCTTTACTGGTAGTACTAGAGGAAACATAGTGATGATGAAATTTGACATTTGGACAACTTTAAAATTAGTAATTAATCCCTGTACTATTAGTAACGCTACTGCGTTACTAATAGTACAGGAATTTTTGTTTAATTTTGGAGTAACTTTAAAAATTCATAAAAATCCAATTTTGATCGGAATCAGTTCAAACTTTCTACACAATATCAGAACATGTATATGCATCAGAAAATGTAATAAAAATGGAGAATTCTCTACTTTCCATTTTTGGCAAAATTTGGCTAAAATCCCTCTACTATAGTACAGGGACTTTGGCCCAATTTGAAGTATTATAAGCAGCTGCTCGACTTACTTGTCGTATAATAAGCTGCTCAGTGAGGAGAGTCCCATGTCCGTTATTATAACCTTCTCCTTTTGGTCTCTCTTCTCCAAAAATATGTTTTTGGTATTGAGTCCTTTATGGATGATACCTCGTGCATGTAGGTACCCCATGGCCTGTAAGGTGAGAATTAATAATAATAATAATAATAATAATAATAATAATAATAATAATAATAATAATAATAATAATAATAATAATAATAATAATAATAATAATAATAATAATAATAATAATAATAATAATAATAATAATAATAATAATAATAATAATAATAATAATAATAATAATAATAATAATAATAATAATAATAATAATAATAATAATAATAATATTGACTCTAATTGACAAAAACTACACCATTTGTCACATTACTTATTGAATATGCTGCCTGTACCTGTGCAATTTGTCTCCCAATGTTTGCCAGTCGTTCCAAAGAGAATGCCTCAGACCAATAGTGGAGCAACTTGTAAAGAGTATACCCTTTACAGTAACTGTACGAGAACAAGATTAATAACTGTATACGTGTACATTGCAGTTCTTACCTTGTGATTATCGCTAGGTTGGGTGTGGTCAGACACACCCCCATGAATAATGCAAGGTTCTCATGCCTAATCTTTTTTAAAACAGCCACCTAATGATTAATTAATTAATCAATTAATTAATTAATAATATAATTAATAGGTCCCTTACTTCTTCTCTGAATTTATTGATTTGTTTAGGTGTTGCATTTGGGAGTACGAACCTTTTAACGGCCACTTCCCCATGCCAGTAACCTTTATAGACCTCAGCCACTGGGCCACTACCCAACTTCTCCAGTAACTTCAAGTCGTTGTACGGAATGATCCACTCATCAACAACACTGTTCCTATGCTGCAATATATAATGATAATGATGATAATGATGATAATTACACTTACTCTTATCCTGTATTTATTGACTTCTGGTTCATCCAAACCTCCAGAACTACCAACACCTTCTGAATCAGCATAAGAGTCATCATCATCATCCGAACCCTCCTAATAAATGAATAAATGAATAATAATAACGTTAAAAATAGAATATTCTTTCAATGACGTTTATAATTGCTGTCTAACAATTGCAGACAAAATTTGAAATAGGAGAAAAGGTTGGAATGCACTTTAATTGGAATAAAATAAATTGCCCAATTAGAAGGTAGCAGACAGCAATCCTTTGATCTCCTGAACATACCATTATACTCCCGACCAGGGTTGAGGTCTTGGAATCAGCCGTTGATATGGTACCAGAGAGAGAAGGTTTCCTGTCATACCATGACTGTAGGTTATCCTCTGATGTAGCATAAAGCCCCTCCCCATTAGCTCCTCCCCCTCTGCTCTGTCGTCTCTCGGCCATTAAGAGGTTAGGCAGAGACTGAGCTGCAATACCTCGTGATGGAAGCTTTAGCCCTCTGTTGTGGGCGGGACCAACCAAACCCACTTCATTAAAGCTGCTGTTAGAACTATCAGACGTGAAACCTTCAGATCCTTCGTAGAACTCACCATCAGGCCCATCCCCCTCCTCATCAGTACTACTGGTGTTATCGTCAGTACTGAGGACAATGGCAATGGAACGATGAAGAGAATTGAAACCAGAGTACTCTACCGGAGGGTCCAATGGTGACCGCGGTGACATTGGAGTGAGGCAAGGACTGGACTGGCTGGAGGTAGAGGGGGAGGAGCTTGTGCTGTGAGGAGGGACCCTGTGGTGGTGAGGGTGACGATAATTGGAGTGTGACCTTACACCTGGCAAGAACAACTGAGGCACCTCCAGTCTAGAGGTACTGTGGGAGGAGGAGAATGGGGCGTGGTCATGGGCGGGGCTTGATGGAGCTGGTGGATGAGGCCTCTTTGTACTGGTAACGGGACTGAACTGATCTATAAAGAAAAAACATTATTAATGATATAATAATAAATAATTAATTACTTTTAGAAGGTTCCCTGTTCAAGTCGTGTATAAAGAAGGTTTCTTCTCTGAGCTGCTCTGAGGACGGAGTTGGAGTGTTGCAGGATCCATATTCACCAGAAGAGGTGAGGTGCCCGGTTTTATTAACCTGATAGACACTCTCGTGCGATGGAGACATCATGAAATGCTGACGAGCATAATTTAGAAAATATTTAGGGAGACCACAGATGGGTGGGGCCAACTTTGAGCAGTTTTTGTGAAATTTGCTCCTACAAAAACAATATAATTATCAATTAAAAGGAGGTGTGGCTTATTAATAAAAGGAGGTGTGGCTTACTTGCAGTATCTGCACCTGTAGCCGCTGACAACCATTGACTTCTTACAATAATCGCATTCCTGGACTCCAAAGAATATGTGATTGATGAACCTGTTAGTAAAACTCAGTAAAACTCTGTACATTTCCAGTATACTTACCTGTGGTCAATCTTGTGTCCCATTACTCCGGTTGGGTTGTAGTTGGTTGGTATCCGAGGGGACGTTGGAACACTGGTCGAGTTATGATCTGCAACAAATAATAATAATTATCATTAATAAATAATTAATTAATTAATTAATTAACTAGTGTACATGTACATGTACATGTTGCAAATTTGCCCAAAGCCTATCATGATCTAAATTCATTGCAATTATCATAAATTGACACTTTAATCTGTCAAATCATAATAGAACATGGTTCATGCAGGAAGAGACTGTACCGTACCTCCAGTGGTAGTGTTGATGGTAAGGTTAGCCAGACGAGGAACTGAGTGTGACTTGACTGAAGAAGAAGGGAACTCACTCTGCTCCACACTACACTGTATCAGGGGGAGGTCCACCATTGATGTAGACGTACCAACTTCCTTACTGAGGCGCCGTTGCCGTGGTGATGCTGATTGGACGCTACTGGCCTCAGAGTTGGAGCGGAGGGGAGGGTCGGGTTGAACGTCCCCAAGATCAGTTGATATGGACCGAGAGAAATTATAATTACCAGCCATGAGTCGCCTGACCTGGAGTAATTAACACAAAACAAGTGAAAATGAGTTTTTATTAAATTGAACTAAGACAATATTAAGCTATTGTATAATGGCTGTCAGTTGTACATGAAGCAGTCAAGATTGTTACTGTAACAAAGTGGATACAATGTAGCTATTGTACTCATTAATGTATGGACGTACTTGTGGGTGTGACTTAGTAGAAGTAGAGTTAGCGAGGGACTGGTTGCTATTGGCGATGCTGTTGTGAATTATTGATGGATGTGAGCCGGTTCTTGTGGGTGGGGCATGTCCGTTATAATAAGGAGGACTAGGGGAACGATACTCAGGAACAGAGTTCTCAGGAACAGCCTCGGGCATTATCAGGTTAGCCAGCGGAGGGTTGGAATGAGAGCGAGTGTGACCAATCTTCTTCTTAGCTCTGAGAGAAGATGAATAGGTAGGCGGGGCAGGAGGTGTGGTCTGATATACATCATGGGATTGGTTGCTAGCGGTTGGTAGATGTGTCGTTTCGTTGCTATGGGCAACATGGAGTCCTAAATCAGAACCAAGAGAGGACATTGAGGAGCTTAAGTGTTGACCCGAGGACTCACTGAGGGCGTGGCCACCACACCCACAAGAACTGGTGCTTCGTATATTATCGTAAGGTACAGAATGGGTTGGGATGGAGGGGGTGGAGTTTTGATGGACTAATCCTTGAAAGGGAGATTGAGTTGAGGAAGGGGTGAGAGGGGTCAGGGGGGTGGAGCTTCTGCTGCCATGGTTACCGGCCGGGGGTGATATGGTGTGACTGGAGGTTGAGTCCTTCCTGCTCTCGAGTGAGGTGAGGGAGTTGAGACGACCAGAGGAAGAGTTACGTCGGACGTCATAAAGACCTGGGGGAGGGTTCTCTCCTTTCTCCCACTTTTCTATAAAGACAAGTGTCATTGTGTAATAATTAAACTGTTTGATGTCATGAGTACTATAAATATTGATAATAATAATGGCAGCTTTATTGTATAGTCTACTTTAAACTAGCAAGATAAGACAAAGGAGACTATGTTACCCACATGGTCTGTTGTGCTTTGATGAATTAAGGAGCTTGAAGTACATGAACATTATACTGTATGTACATGTACATACGTGTATAGTATGGATACACTGTATATGTACATTTATTCTCTCAACCCACTAACATCCAGTTCACTGATCAATGGAGACACTACAAATGATCAGTTCACATAGGAACAGCCACACACAGTTCCTACCATCATCATGTGTACAGGAACTTTTCTTAAATGAGTGTGAGAATAAATTAGTAACAATTATACTAAACATATGCTGCAGTCCCTCCCTCCATCCCTTAATAGTGAGTGGGCCCAATAGTACACATCAACATACTAGGCAGTGCTTGTAAGCCAGTCGTGTACAGTACATGTACATTACTTCTCTCAATTAGTCTGGGAAGTTAAATAGGAAGGAATGATTGGAATTCAAGGAATGTGCATCCTTGAAGTAACAAACAGCTGAGGATACACTCACTTACCATAGTAGAGGGACATGAGGTCCAGGAGGGAGACCAGTTTGTGACAGTCTCTTGCTGTTATCTCCAAACGAGAGAACAAGTACTGTAGCTCTTGAGGCGTCATTTGGAATAACCTATCAACAGAGAGCTTCTCCTTTTCACTGGATAATGACTACAAGGAGAGAGAGAGAGACAACACCAGGTGGGATAATAATAGCTACAATTATACTGTACATACACAAACAGGTTTATAATTATGAATTTTAGGAATTAATAATTACTATTAGTTGTACAATGTACATGTAGGCAATTTAGCACCTGCCACTAAACAACTGACAATAATACCAGAAGAGAGAGAGAGGGGAGAGAGGGGGGAGAGGGAGAGAGAGGGGGGAGGGGGAGAGAGACAGAGACAGAGAGAGAGACAGAGAGACAGAGACAGAGAGGGAGAGAGAGAGACAGAGAGGGGGGAGGGAGGGGGAGAAAAAGGAGACAGTAATAGCTTGAGGGTTAGCCCATGATTACTGTTAGTAGAGGTGAATACAGTCTGTTGCCATGGCAATAAGAAAAACACTGAGGCAGAAAGGAATGCTACAGAATAAATGGACACACAGCAAAACAGTACATGTACATGTATTTAAAATTAGTACACAGCTGCAAAATGACTAGATACTAATCATCACTTGTAACAATAACATTAATAATAACAAGATTATGTACAGGGTTTATACCAGCTGGTAACTAGCCGCCCAAACAAAGGAAGTGAGATACATGTACATTAGCCTGATATTCATCCTATACAGTAGCTGTTAATGTATTGAAATCTTACAATTACTAATAGCTCTCTCTCTCTATGTGTGTGTGTGTGTGTGTGTGTGTGTGTGTGTGTGTGTGTGTGTGTGTGTGTGTGTGTGTGTGTGTGTGTGTGTGTGTGTGTGTGTGTGTGTGTGTGTGTGTGTGTGTGTGTGTGTGTGTGTGTGTGTGTGTGTGTGTGTGTGTGTGTGTGTGTGATTGAGTTATTAGACAGTTGGCATGAGATAGGGTCTGTCTGCCATTTGATCTCATAGGAAAACAGACTAAATATAATTAACAACCAATATCACAGTTCCACCATACACACCTACTGACATTATACTGCTGTACCTGAAGATAAATAATGAATGGACACACACACACACACAATGAGAGAGAGAGGGGGGAGAGAGGGAGAGATAAAAGATAGTACAACTATAATCTGTTAACAACTGCCTCAGCAAACACAATATGAACCATATGACCATACACATTAATAAAGTGAAATGAAGTGTATTGACGGATTTAGCAATTACAAGTTAAGAACATATTCAGCTGCTCCAGTGTATAGTCATATCCCTCCAAAAACGTGGGATGGGGACGCATCAAAAGATGTACATTATTAGTATATTATTAGTATATTATTTGTGTACTGTTGGCAGTGCCATAGAGTGACAGGATGTATGTAAATTTCCTTTGAACTTTAAATAGTGTCCTTTGATAGACAGACTATACACAAGTACATGTACTTACACACACACAACTAATGCTAAACCCATAGAAATAAGTACATCCAATAAAAAAACAATAATAATAATAATAATAATAATAATAATAAAAATATTAATAGTAGGGGTACATGAAACCTTAAGTACCTTAACTGAGAGTTCTTCGAGGCCAGTAACGGTTAGGAACATTTTAAAACTTATCAATGAGTCTAACTCGTCATTTGTTTGTTCGAAATCAAAATGAGACACGCCTCCAGCGTTAATTAGTTCTTTAAGACAGATGTGCTTATGCATCAGTTGACGAGAAAAGAGCTTCATGAGCTTATTCTGTTAGGAGAGGGAGAGAGAGAGAGAGAGAGAGAGAGAGAGAGAGAGGGAGGGAGGGAGGGAAGGAAAGGCAATGAACGACAAAGAATTGCAAGTGTACAGTATAGCTAAATATAATAAAACAGAGAGAGAGCTGGAGGGTGACAAGTTAAGGGTGATAGTAAAATGGCTAAAGTTTGTTAATTAATGTTAAATAGCTGTGATTAATTTACCTCAACTAGTACAATGTTCTCCTTCAGAGCGTCACTGCTTCCATCAGAAGGTATGGACTGAGATGAAACGCGAGTTGACTCCAGTTCTCTTGCAGTTAGATCAATCATCCTCTGCTGGACCTTCATCTTCCCTTTAGTAACGGAGAAAAGGTCCTTCTTGTCATCTTGGGTCTGTCCTATGCTGCTGCTGTACACTGCAGTAGCAGTAGTGGCTGACATTAGGAGAGGAGAGGGAGGGGGATGTGTGTTAAAGTGAAGTAGGACTCCTTTTCAAGAGGATATGTAGCTGTTTTTAAAGATGTCCACTGTCACTTTGATTTAAGTTATTAACATCACCACTTTAGACTGGGATCAGCTGGAATAGAGAGAGATAATAATTCTTTAGCTCTTTGAGAGAGAAAGAGAGAGAGAGAGAGAGTCCTTTAGTTCAGATAATGGTACAGTAGCCTGCCAATGCAGTCGGAAATGAACTGTGGGGAGTCCAGTCACTCTGTTTAGACGGAGGGGGCAGAGCAAGAGATACAAGAGGAGACGACTATAGACGTGGGAGAGATAAGGGCCAGGAGCTAAACAGTGTGTGTATAATATATCCTGTTAGGCTATACTGGATCTGTCCTTTTGACAACCTTCAAAGAAGCAAAAATAACAGACAATTATGAGAGGGCGTGGTTTAGACTGGTATGAATATCATTAAAAAATAATTGCGGTTTAGTAGGCGTGGTTTAACGAAAAATTGCGTTTTCTCATCATCATGATCTTGTACGATTAATTCTGTTGATGCTTTAAATGCTACAGGAGACTCTAGTAGCTTGCAGTATTTCATTATTTAGCTTGCATTAGCTTGCAAAAGTGCATTAATACCTAAATATAAGATGAATACAAGCAACTTGAGCAAAATTTGGGTGGGGCTCAGCTGGCACTACAGCAATGATTATAATTATCTCCTTCTGGCCACGTGAAATAGTTTTAAAATGAAGAGAAGAAGGTTCAATGAAAAGGCTCGTCAAGGGAAGGCTGTGAGTGTAAAAGGCGGCCAAGCACCACCTGATACAAACTACACTGTACTAATACCACGGACCAATAAGAGCTGTAATGAAGAGAAGGCAGACCAGACTAGTAGAACAAATAAGAGACTGAGCAGTAGACAGAAGAAGAAATTAAAAGCAGTAATTGAAAATAAAAGAAAAAAAGAAAAGGTGAGCTTGTAATTGTAGTCATGTTCATGTAATTATTGTGTTACATGAACTGTGTGATTGTTATTATTTTTATATTTACTGTTGCTTTAGAGAGCTGCAATAATAAACAGTTTACAGTCAATGTCTCTGTCGTCATCAGAAATGAAACTGCTACATCGATCAACTGACCTTTCCAAGAATAAACTGACAGCCAAGTATGTATCAAGAAATGTCACTATAATAGCACAGGGCATTCATTATCTGGCAGGGAATTCTCCATTCTTATTACATTTTCTGATGCATTTACATTTTCTTATGTTGTGTAGAAAGTTTGAGTTGATTCCGATCAAAATTGGATTTTTTATGAATTTTAAAAGTTACTCCAAAATCGGACTAAAGTCCCTGTACTATAATAGTACAGAGATTTTAGTCAAATTTTACCAAAAATAAAAAGGAGAGGATTTTTCAATTTTATTACATTTTCTGATGTATTTATGTAGAGAATTAATTGAAAGAGGATCAGTGGACATTCCTCCATTAATTAATAACTCGTTTGAACTGATAGAAGAGAATGGGTGTGGTCCAAATATTGGTAACATACTAATCAACAAACCAGGAGGAGGAGGAGGAGGAGGAGTGAAAAGGAGAAAGCAAAGGAAAAGAAGACGTCATTTAGTTGAGAAACGTATTTTGGAACCTCGTGAACTAAAGGACTCGTCCAGTGATGTATCATCAAGTGAAGAGGAGGAGGAGTCAGAAGAGACTACTAGCCATCATGAACTAATGGAGACTGAGCAGGAGGAGGGGACTATATCTACTGATGGACACTGTGCTTCCAATGAATCCTCTTGTTTATTATCTTCACCTGACCCTCCCTCCTCTTCATTACCCTCGTCCAGTGCCCCTCCCATTAGTGCCCCTCCCCCTGCTACTCCTGCTGTATATGTGAGTGTCAATAGGTCAGGAGTAGTCCAGGTGAGTGGACTGGTATTATTGTAATTAATGAATAATGACACCTGCTCTCTTTCCTTCCTGTTCCCATGGATACACAGACAGTTATTCCTAGTAGACAGCAATCACAGCATGTGATGTCATATGAAGTGTCATAACTATACTCTATGGTAGTTATGACTCCATTCAATGATGTCATAGTCTAATTACTATTGTAATCTACATAGTTAATGGTTTTCATGTATTGTATTCTGGTGTGGCTATCATTGATATACATGTTTATCATTATCATTATTGTTTTTGTTGTTGTTGTTGTTGTTATTATTTATTATTTGCTAGTCCTCTCGTTTATCTCTCCCAATATTATCGGAGGAGCACTCCATTATAGCAGCAGTGAAGGAGAATCCAGTGGTCATTATATGTGGAGAGACTGGTAGTGGGAAGACAACTCAAGTCCCTCAGTTCCTGTACGAGTCAGGCCACACCCTCTTAGGGGCGGAGTCAGGAAAGAGAAGCATCATTGGAATAACCGAGCCTAGGAGAGTTGCCGCTGTTTCTATGGCAACAAGGGTGGGGTATGAAATGGATCTGCCCAGCAGGTAAACGTTTTATGCTTTTTGTATAATGCCATGTTCATCCTAGCTCTTCCATTTACATATTTTGTTCTTCTTCTTGTGTCTTTTAATGTACAGTCAAGTCTCTTATCAGATCAGATATGAAGGAACTGTCTCTCAAAAAACTGAAATAAAGTTCATGACTGATGGAGTCCTCCTTAAAGAAATTGAGAAAGTATATGTACTTTATATGTACTTGTACTTGTACGTTGCAGCTGCTAATGTACATATACACATGTAATTAGTTGCCGTGTTTGCTGAGTAATTATTATTGACATGAGCTCATTTCACTGGAGCTAGAGATCAAAGGTCATTGCAATCATTTCAATAGTACATTTACTTGTAGAAAGTACATGTACAGTATTTAAACACATGATATGGTATTAATATACAGCTGCTACTGACCTTGAGTACACGTTACTGTATTTGAACTTCCTGATGTGAATCAGTATTATTATAATTGAATCATCATATTGTCACATTGTGTAGGACTTCTTGTTATCAAACTATTCTGTCCTTATCATTGATGAAGCTCATGAGAGAAGTGTCTACAGCGATATCCTAATAGGGCTCCTCTCCAGGATTGTTCCTTTAAGAAATAAAGTGATTTATGAATCAATTTTTAAAAACGTGAGAGTAACACTTTGTTTTTCCTTTTATAGAGCGAGCGTCCATTAAAGTTGATAATAATGTCAGCCACACTCAGAGTCAAGGACTTTACTGAAAACCATGTCCTCTTTCCAACCCCACCTCCTGTTGTCAAGGTAACTGACAAACACATTATTATTATTATTATTTTTTTATTTTTTATTTTTATATTATTGTTATTATTATTATTATTATTATTATTATTATTATTATTATTATTATTAATAGGTTGAGTCCAGGCAGTTTCCTGTTACTGTCCATTTTAATAGAGTGACGCCACTAAATTATGTCTTAGCTGCTTACAGAAAAGTTTGTAAAATTCACTCAAGCTTACCAGGAGGACACATACTGGTGTTTCTAACTGGGAGACAAGAGATACTACAGCTGGTAAAGAAACTGGAAGCAACCTTTCCCTCATCGTCACTCCGACCTCCTGGGACAAGGGAAGAGGAGGAGGAAGAATATAAAGACTTGTGTTTAGAGAATCGAGACAAACTAGGAGAGAGGGAGAGGAGAAAGGATAGTTACGTTAATTTAGATGAGTAAGTTAATTAGTATAATTAATTATTATCACCTGCCCCGCCCTTTTTAGCTATCCCATATTATCAGAAGATGTATTAGCTAATGATAGCAGCTGTTCTGATCACAGTGATTCCGATAGTAATGAAGAGGCGGAGTTTATTAGCGTTTCCAATAGCAACCAACCATTAGTTGTGTTACCACTTTACTCTACACTGGAGCCAGAGGAACAAGCAAAAGTAATTTGATATACATGTTCTTATGTTGTGTAGAAAGTTTGAGCTGATTCTGATCAAAATTGAATTTTTTACAAATTTTTTTAATTGCTCCAAAATCGGACAAAAGTCCCTGTACTATAGTACATGGTCTCGGGCCAAATTTTGCCGAAAATGGAGAGTAGAGAATTCTCGATTTTTATTACATTTTCTGATACATATACATGTTCTTATGTTGTGTAGAAAGTTTGAGCTGATTCCGATCAAAATTGAATTTTTTACGAATTTTTTTAATTGCTCCAAAATCGGACAAAAGTCCCTGTACTATAGTACATGGTCTCGGGCCAAATTTTGCCGAAAATGGAGAGTAGAGAATTCTCGATTTTTATTACATTTTCTGATACATATACATGTTCTTATGTTGTGTAGAAAGTTTGAGCTGATTCTGATCAAAATTGAATTTTTTTACGAATTTTTAAAATTGCTCCAAAATCGGACAAAAGTCCCTGTACTATAGTACATGGTCTCGGGCCAAATTTTTCCGAAAATGGAGAGTAGAGAATTCTCGATTTTTATTACATTTTCTGATACATATACATGTTCTTATGTTGTGTAGAAAGTTTGAGCTGATTCCGATCAAAATTGAATTTTTTACGAATTTTTTTAATTGCTCCAAAATCGGACAAAAGTCCCTGTACTATAGTACATGGTCTCGGGCCAAATTTTGCCGAAAATGGAGAGTAGAGAATTCTTGATTTTTATTACATTTTCTGATACATATACATGTTCTTATGTTGTGTAGAAATTTTGAGCTGATTCCGATCAAAATTGAATTTTTTACGAATTTTTTAAATTGCTCCAAAATCGGACAAAAGTCCCTGTACTATAGTACATGGTCTCGGGCCAAATTTTGCCGAAAATGGAGAGTAGAGAATTCTCGATTTTTATTACATTTTCTGATACATATACATGTTCTTATGTTGTGTAGAAAGTTTGAGCTGATTCTGATCAAAATTGAATTTTTTTACGAATTTTTAAAATTGCTCCAAAATTGGACAAAAGTCCCTGTACTATAGTACATGGTCTTGGGCCAAATTTTGCCAAAAATGGAAAGTAGAGAATTCTCCATTTTTATTACATTTTCTGATACATATACATGTTCTTATGTTGTGTAGAAATTTTGAGCTGATTCCGATCAAAATTGAATTTTTTACGAATTTTTTAAATTGCTCCAAAATCGGACAAAAGTCCCTGTACTATAGTACATGGTCTCGGGCCAAATTTTGCCGAAAATGGAGAGTAGAGAATTCTCGATTTTTATTACATTTTCTGATACATATACATGTTCTTATGTTGTGTAGAAAGTTTGAGCTGATTCTGATCAAAATTGAATTTTTTTACGAATTTTTAAAATTGCTCCAAAATTGGACAAAAGTCCCTGTACTATAGTACATGGTCTTGGGCCAAATTTTGCCAAAAATGGAAAGTAGAGAATTCTCCATTTTTATTACATTTTCTGATACATATACATGTTCTTATGTTGTGTAGAAAGTTTGAGCTGATTCCGATCAAAATTGAATTTTTTACAAATTTTTTTAATTGCTCCAAAATCGGACAAAAGTCCCTGTACAGTCAAACCTGTCTAAACGGTCACTGCTTAAAACAGCCAGCTACTTTAAAACGGTCACTATTTAATGTCCCAATTTTTTGGACAATGACTGTAATACTAAACTTACCTGTCCCAGCGGTCTCTCTGTAAGATGGTTAACGGTCACCGACAGAATTAATCTCCATCAAGACTGATAAAGACCACCACTGTGTACAGGCGGCCAGATAGCCACGCCTATTGTACCACGCCCATTTTGAATTAATTTTTACATCATTAATAATGATTAATTTTTGTTAAATTGTTATCTCAAATAATACCTTCGAAATAATACTATATACCACTCAGTTTAGGCCTTTAGGGGTACCTAAAAGTTCTTTAAGTCTTGTTATATAGTTTCTATGGCCAGTAAATGTGTACAAAATAATTTAAACTGTATTTAAAGGCATTTCTATAAAAAGGCCACCTGCATAAGACAGCCACTAAATGCATGTCCCAAGGTGACCGTTTTAGACAGGTTTGACTGTACTACATAAAAAATTTAAAAAAAACAAGATGAAGTAGG